CCTCGCACTTTTGACTGGTCCTCACACTTATGACCATCCTCACATTTATGCCCATGCAGCATTCTTAACAACCATGTCACTCATTTCACAACTGCTTCTCTTCACCATGATGACAAGATAGGGCAAAAAATGTAAAATGTGAAGACAGTCGTAAGTTCGAGGACTGGTCAAATGTGCGAGGACCAGTCAAAAATAACTTTTTCAGCCCTCTGAGTAGTCCATATGCATAAAAGGATACAGCAATAGAGAGGGATGAAGGAAGGGAAGGGAAATTAGAGTAGGAGTGAAGGTAAGAGGGGGAGGAAGAGAGGAGGAGAAGGAGAAAGGAAGAGGAAGTAGGGAGGAGAAGAAGAGGGGGGGAAGAGAAAGTAAGAAGGAAAGAAAAGAGAGAGGTGGTAGGTTTGAGGAGAAAGATTGCTGTACAATAAAAAAGATGAAAGGGAAGAAAGCCAATCCCAAACAAATATAAAGATATTAAGATAAAGAATGAATGGTTAAACTTTAAAGAATAAAAGAGAACAAATATGAATAAATAGACATGGTTGTTAAGAATGCTGCATGGGCATAAATGTGAGGATGGTCATAAGTGTGAGGACCAGTCAAAAGTGCGAGGACCTGTCAGAAATGATTTTTTCAGCCCTCTGGTTAGTCCTTTTGTGCATATGGACTACTTAGAGGGCTGAAAAAGTTATTTTTGACTGGTCCTCACACTTTTGACCAGTCCTCGAACTTACGACTGTCCTCACATTTTACATTTTTGCCCTATCTTGTCATCATGGTGAAGAGAAGCAGTTGTGAAATGAGTGACATGGTTGTTAAGAATACTGCACGGGCATAAATGTGAGGATGGTCATAAGTGTGAGGACCAGTCAAAAGTGTGAGGACCTGTCAGAAATGACTTTTCAGCCCTCTGAGTAGTCCCTATACACATAGCCATGGCCACCCGGTCACATGACCAGCTAGCCACGCCTACCCAGTCACATGGCCTCCAAGCCACGCCCACACAATAAGTCACGCCCACAATGGTGTCCTTCTTACCAATGTTAAAATCTGTTCACCTTACCCTATACACATAGCCATGGCCACCCGGTCACATGACCAGCTAGCCACACCCACCCAGTCACGTGACCAGCTAGCCACGCCCACCCAGTCACGTGACCAGCTAGCCACGCCCACAAAATAAGCCACGCCCACAATGTCCCTCTTTACCAATGTTAAAATCTGGTCACCTTAGGCTACACTGATACGTATTTTTAGGTGGCAAAGTGGTACGCGGTCCAAATTCCAATTGTGTCATTTCATGACTGTCTCATTTTGGGGGTTTTGACAAATGTGAGAAGCATAGCAGCACTTTCAAAATTCACACCTCAGCTTTAGATTTACTAATTAATCATCAAAGATTAAATCATACAGTGATAATTTCTATTTCTCTGTGGTATATGTCTAAGTTTATTCCATAAAGTCTGGACATTTATAACTGTGAGATCCACAAGCCCAACATATGATTTATGATACAAATCACTCTTTAACATTACAGAAAAGAAAACTATCAGATGGTCCTGTGGAAGCTGAGGAGGATTATACTAAATTCAATACTGGTGATCTGAAAAACAAAAAGGTATGTATTTTTGTGTTTTCTTGCCTCATATTTAGGTAGGGTTTCCTGCCTAAGTAGGGGGTTGGACTAGAAGACCTCCAAGGTGCCTTCCAACTCTGTTTATTCTATTCTATTCTATTCTATTCTATTCTATTCTATTCTATTCTATTCTATTCTATTCTATTCTATTCTTTTGTCTAATGGTAAGATGGTCTATTAAAAAGGGGGGGACAGGGCAGCTATTTAAGCAAGTGCAATCTATAAGACATCACTAGAATTCTGCATTTCAGAATAGTGTAAACAGATTAACTGTCAAAACAGCTAGATAAAATATTAGGAAGAGTGGGGAGAGAAGGAAGAGAGAATTAAAAGTACTACCCTTTTTAAAGAGCTGATTTTTAAATGGTTTCTAGAGGTTCGAATTACTTTTCTACAGGATTCACTAATCACACAAAGCCATAATGTAGTTTGCTTGATTTTGACTCAGTGTGGTATTTGAACACTGCCAGAGGGTAAATGTTACCTTAGTGCGATGTGCACAGTACATTGCAATAATAGCATTAATATATTTAGTGTTTTTCCTAATTGTGCCAGGTTTTAGCTCTGCAAGCATCTTAAAAGTGTTATTTTTGGAAAGTGCAGCTCAGTACAATGTTTCCCACAGAGATCAGTGGGGCTTGGAATATTCTTGTGATACCGATTTAGTATAAAACCAGGCTGTCACATAAAAGTACCAGTAGAGGACATGAAAAGTAGCACAGAAACTGAAAGCGCTGGTTAGACTGCCCACTTAATCTGGTCTCCTACCAAGCCAATGAACTGAGAGTTGCAAAGAAATGATTGATTCCTCACAAGCCAGGTTTCCTATGCATGTGGCTGCTTTGATATGCATAATAGTTGGTGTTAGTAGCCTCTCATTCATATTGTCTGCTTTACGCGAAGTATCAGTGTAAATCTGTTTTTAAAAATTGTGTGGATTAGAATAATATTTTGTTGGGAGGGCCAAAAATAGATTCATTCTTAGGAATGCTAGAGAAATACAATTTCAAATTTTAGCTATAAAATTTAAATATAAAACTTCTTGCTATCTTGCTCAGGTCTCATAACTATCCAAGTCTATCTTTACTATTGCCTTGGTGAGGTATTTCCTCTGATAAGTATTTTAACTCAGTTTAGTCACCCTAAGTGCTGACTAACAAATTGATAAATCAAGATTGAAGTAGAAATTTTATTCTGGTGTTTATGTCAGGCTTTGTTTCATGATTATCAAAATCATACCAACAATGATAAAGATGTATATATCAATTTTTTCAGGAGGTCACGTGGTTTAGGAAGAACATGCCTGCATTGGATTTTTTTCACGATGTAATCTGAAAAAGGATGTTTTTACATGAATTTGCTTCTCAGCTCATTTACTAATTTTTTTTAATCTTAGTTGATTCTTTGGGATTGGCGTGATTTTTATAATGACCCTCTGAATAAAATGTGTGAGTGATTCTGTGCAATTACCATTTATGAGTCCTGTACGTGAAAAGAATTGAATCCTAAACTTTGTGCTAATGTTTTGTTCTTACTTCCAGGCAAGCAGTAAAATGTCAGCTGCACAAAAAGCTTTAGCGAAAGTTGACAAGAGCGGCATGAAAACAATGTCTTCTTTCTTCAGACCAAAAACTACCACACCAAAATGAAGGGAAGAGGGTGCTATTTAGTTTAGTAATTATCTTGGATTTTTTTTTTTTTATGAAACTCAAGCTCCTTATAGCTTTCTTTCTTCTCCTATTTTCCCCTATTAAGACTTGTCACAAGTAGAAATCTACGATACTGATATGAATGTAATCAAAGTTAATTTTGTGTTTGTGTTAGGAAAACTAAGCTCAGTCATCTGCTACAGATAGGAATCTGTCTTTATATCATAATTACTGAAAAGTCACAGTATAATGCAAAGCATACATTAATTTCCGAATAAATTATTTGCACTTCTTGTTTTTTAAGTTGTTGATGGTTTTTGGCTGAGGGAAATCTTACATGCGTCTTCTTTGTATTTTAAAAACTGGCTGGGCATTATTGTTGGCTGTTTATTTTTCCACACTGGTGACCAGGATGATCAGAGTCTTTGCTTACATACGTCTTGAATGATGAATGATTTGAGGTATTTTTTTCTAAACTGAAGAGAGTTTTAAAGATAGTGTTTTAAGGAGAAGCTGAATTGTTAATATAAAGGTCTTCAGTACAGGCAGTCCTTGACTTATGACCAGTTGGTAAAGGACCATTCAAAGTTACAATGGACTCACAAAAAAAATATTTACCACCCATCCTTGAAGTGATGACCGCTGTATCACCCCTGTGGTCATGTGTTCACATTTTGGATGTTGGCAACTGGCTTGCATTTACGATGGGTTGCAGTGTCCCACAGTCACAACACAAATCCACTTGGTTTCTGACAGTTTTGTCTTCACAGTCCCAAGTGAACATGTGATCAAATTTTGGGATGTTTTGACATTGTTCAACAAAATGCCCATTGGATAAGCTGGATATGGACTTTCGACCGGGTGATTCGCTTAATGACCACATTACTAGCTTAACAATGATGGTAAAATCAAGGATTTGTGGAGTGGCAGGGAGTGCATTCCCTTGTACTTTGTGGAATGACCCCCAAAGTGTAGTGTTGCCTTATTCAAAGAAGGTTTGGGTTTTTTTCCCTGGGGAAAAGGGTTCTATGTTTTCTTCAGGCGGGTCAGGATTACTGTTGGCGGGACAGCACCTGGTATATCCATTTCCAGAATGGAAATTCATCTTTATCATCAAAGCAGTGGGGAGGAAAAGGGGGAAAAGAAGTGAAGAAGGATAAGAAAAAAGAAAAAAGAAAAACATTGACTTCTGACCTCCCTCTGTTGCAGTAAAATAAGGCATTAACATCAAATCACAACGTTTTGCTTTTTCATAATAATATGAACCAGCAATTTCTGCAAAGATCTAGCAGTCTATTCCGTAAAACCCAAAATCAAAGTTTCATTCTTTTCCACTTCAAGCACAAAGTTCAGAAGCGGTCTCCCAAGTGCAAACATCTCAACAGCTAATGTTATGCAACTTTCTGCCTGGCCTTTTTATATACTTTCTTTTGTTATGTTTATTTCAACCTAAAGAGAAAGAATTGTACTCTAGGTCAGTTTTGACTGGAGTGACTGTAAGTCCTCTAAGTTAAATGACTCCTAAAGCCACAACTGTTGATAGTTAACTGGTACAAACCAAAATGATTTGTATGTACAATGATGTCATGAAGTTATGGCTCACCCACTCAATGTGGCCATTTATGTCATTGGAATTTATCTTTTGCTTAATGTTAAATAGAATCAACTAATTATGGCTGATTCAATAAATCATTGTTAAATCATAGTTTACTATGGTACGTGAACCCAGTTTCTATGTCCTTTAACACAATGGGAAATGATTTAAATGTTATCTTTGGCCTTTATATTATGACCAAACAGATAGTGTGTTGTTTTCTGAAGTCTTCTATGACAACCCTGGTTAATTTATGAAGAGCAAAAATAGGAGGGGGTTTCCAAAATCCGTTTACATATATTTCCAAAATTTCCATTCTGTCCCCAGAATTGGAAATTCAGTTTGCAATTTCTGAGGAGCACCAAAGAGAAAGACTTTTCTGTTCCCTGAAGTAGATAAACAGTAAGACCAGATGTCCTTCCTCATTGTATTACTTACAATAGAGTATAACCTCCCTCTCCCAACAGCCACTACATTGTTAAGTCCTCCCAGCAACAGAATAAGGTAATATTAGCAGACTCTTGGTTTCTCCCATCTTTTGCAGCTGCATGTATGCTCAAAGGCAGGAAAAATGAAGCTTCCCTTTATATAAACCACTTTTTAAAAATATGTATTGTTTATCTTAAAAAGTAAACTAGAAAACAAAACAAACAAAACAAAGCATACATCCAACACTAGCAACAACGAAAAAAGAAAAAATAGTGTACCAAAAAAAGAAGGAAAAATTGATCAAATAAATTTAACATGTAGGATCCACCTTGGCTGGGTGCTGAAAAGAAAAGCAGTAAATTCGTTCCTTTTACAAATATATATATGTAAAAGAAGAGGGAAAAAAAGTCAACAGATTAAGTTAAACATTACTCTAAATCTTAAACTCCTATTAACCATCTGTTATTGTATTTAGCGCGTAGAAAGTCCACAAATGGTTTCCAGTCTCTTATAAAGCTGTCTAGCCATTATCTCTAAGCAAAGCAGTTAATTCCACCATCTCCGATAATTCAGTCAATTTCAAAATCCATTCTTCAACAGTCGGCATCCCTTTTTCTTTCCAGTGTTTGGCAAGTATAATCCTCATAGCCCTTGCCATGTGAAGGAATAGCACCCCAAATTTTTCAATTGGCTTGTCCATACCCAAAAGAAAAGCTTCAGATTTCATTAATATTTGTATCTTAAATATTTCTGCATTGTCATCGTTATGTTTATCCAGTATGTTTTCACATATTTGCAAAGACCACCACATATGATAAAATAAACCTGGATTTTGACTACATTTCCAGCATTTATTAGAATATTTATTAGATTTTTGCTAGTCTATCTGGGGTCAAGTACCAAAGTATCAGTTTGGATTCTGAGTAAGATGAGAAAATTATAAGAGCCCACAGAATGCCCACAGTGTAATGGCTGAACTTTTCTAAAAGAGAATGCAAAATGCTGAAGGTGTGTGATTGTCACCAAGATGTTTTGAAAATAATGATTCTTTTTCCTCTTGTGATTGTTCTCCATGACAACTTTCAGCTTCTAATAGGTTACCTGGGGGGCAGAAGGAGAACAAAGGTGTGAGAAAAACAATTTGGAATATTCCCATTAAAATTTGAGCTGTGGCCAGAACCAGTTTGTTAGCCATTCTATGGATTACCCCCTGCTAATCCCTTAACAGTTTTCATAGGTGATAATTGCTATTTTGATAAACAATAATAGTAAAGTTCATGTAACTGCTTGACCAAGTTCAGATCTTTCTTCTCAAACTTGCAGGTGTGTGCACCTAAGCAAAAAAATCAAGTTACAAAACTCAAATATGCAAACAATCCAATGGTTATATCCATGTTATTCTTTATACCAATAGAAAAGAATGCTTCTCTCTGCTCTTTAATAATTAATTGTAGAATATAGGATCTTAAGAAGTAGGGAGTCTCCTGAAATTGAAATGGTTGTAACTTTCATAGGCTCTTAGAAATTCTAAGAAATAATTTTCAAATTGCTTATTATAACCATGATTTAAGTGCTGCTGGACAGCTTGTTTCTACTTTTCCACCAATATTTTGACAGTCTCCCAATGAGATGAGTTAGATTGAGAGAGGGGAGGGTCATTCAGATGCAGTCAACTTTGTGATTCCTTCTCCAAACTATGGAACTATGATAAGCAGCAGCAAGCCTAAAATGGCTCCCGAGTAAACCAGACAGCTGCACAATGTAAAAATCATAGGGAATATGATCAAAGTGTACCACCATATGATCATCAAAGATGACCTCTGCCTAGCTCCTCCCATCTGCATCTATTGACCATACCAGTGGTGAAACCCAAATTTTTTTACTACCGGTTCTGTGGGCGTGACTTGGTGGGCGTGGCAGGGGAAGGATACTGCAAAATCTACATTCCCACCCCACTCTAGAGCAAGGATACTGCAAAATCTCCATTCCCACCCCACTCTGGGCCAGCCAGAGGTGGCATTTGCCGGTTCTCTGAACTACTCAAAATTTCCGCTACCAGTTCTCCAGAACCTGTCAGAACTTGCTGGATTTCACCCCTGGAGCATACTATACACATTTTCTGGAGATAACAGTGAAGAACCCTGCTGAGAATTCTGCCATCAAATCTGAGGGATTACTTTATCTAGTTGATCCCAGAAATAAAGTTTTTAAAGATGTAATAATTATACATAATATATATAATAAATGGAGGCCTTCCAGCAAGGCCAATCTCATCCCACTTTCAATATTACGGAAATTGTTTGCCATGCGGATTAGGAATAGCAATAGCACTTAAGACTTGTATACCACTTCACAGTGTTTTACAGCCCTCTCTAAGTGGTTTACAGAGTCAGCCTATTGCCCCCAACCATCTGGGTCCTCATTTTACCGACCTCAGAAGGGTGGAAGGCTGAGTCAACCTTGAGCCATTCAGAATCGAACTCTTGGCAGTCAGCAGAGTCAGCCTGTCATATTGCATCCTAACCACTGGGCCACCATGGATTAATTCATATCTCTGTGCTACATATTTGTAATGACACTGCCTGGCATCAGAAGCAAACAGAACGGCTACCAGGGCAAGAAATAGAACAGTGCACTGTAAATGAGCCTCCAATTTTCTGACATGCAATTGTAGAATTATGAGACAGGACTGGCTTTTCAGAAAATCAGTGGTACTTGAGCCTTGGAATTACAGTGAAAGAATTGCTTTTCTTAAATTGGTATCCTCCAACTATCTTGGGACTACCGCTGTAGTATTCCTATCAATCATACTGACTAAGAAGTCTGGCAGTTGAAATTTAAAATAACATTAAAACAGGTTGAGGCAGACACTCATAGTAAGAACATCTCTGATGTACGTTACAGATAGTCCTCAACTTACAACCGCTATTGAGCCCAAAATTTATGTGGCTCAGTGAGACATTTGTTAGGTGACTTGTGCCCCATTTTATGCCTTTTTTTTTTTTTGCCACATTTGCTAAATGAATCACTGCAGTTGTTAAGTTAGTATCATGGTTGTTAAGTGAATCTGCCTTCTCTGTTGACTTTCCTTGTCAAAAAAGGTCGCAAAAGGTGATCGCATGACTCCAGGACAATGCAACCGTCATAAATAGGAGTCGGTCGCCTAGCATCCAAATGTAGATCAGTTGACCATGGGGATGCTGCAACGGTCATAAGTATGAAAAATGGTCATAAATCATTCTTTTCAGTGCCATTGTAACTTTGAACAATCACTAAGTGAACTGTTGTAAGTTGAAGACTACCTGTACTCACACCAGTGGTGGGTTGCTCCTGGTTCAGTCCAGTTCTTGCAAACCGGTAGTAATGGCGGTGGGAGGCTCCGCCCATCCGCCCGGACGTCATCATGAATGATCTGCACATGCGCAAAAGCTTCTGCACACACGCTCCCGTTGCGAACCGGTAGCAGAGGTAAGTAGAACCCATCCCTGACTCACACCCACACACCCATGCACGCACGCACGCACGCATGCGCACACACACACACACAGAGTATATTACATACCATTGCTATGAACATTCCTAAAAGTCTCTTCAACCCGTCCCATTATTTCATCCTCAGTAGCACTGAGATTTTGTTTCAGAAAATAGGTTGTCATTTTCCCTTTGCCTTTCACCTCTATGGTTCCCCTTTCCGCTGTCTCAAACACTTGAGGAGGAAGTGCTCTGTGCAGTCCAAGAAACAACAACATGTAGAGTTCATGACTTATTGCTAACTGGCCATAGCTGGCTAGCACCGAACAAAATTATACGCAAACAAACCATATTATGGCTTAGCACAATATGCAAAGCAGATTATGAGATTTAATCCTGGCACAGTCAAGTTCCCGTCTGATAGATTTGGTATTTCATTGCAAGCCCTTACTTACTTGAATGTTGTGGAGCTGATATGGATTTTGTCCGGTAATCCATGGCTTTCCATCCTGGAAGCCGTATTGACGGTATCACCGAATAAACAGTATCTGGGCATTTTTTCCCCAACTACACCAGCTAGCACTGGTCCAGTGTGTATCCCAATTCTAATCTGTTGAGAGAAACACAATATGGAAACCACATAGTGGAAGAGGTTCTTGTGGAAATATATTCCCTTAGTGCATGGATGTCAAACTCGCGGTGTCACATTGCTATCACGTGACATATCGTGATGTTTTTCCCCTTCACGAAATGGGTGGGTGTGGCCTGTGCGTAATGCATCCGGCCCACAGGCCGCCAGTTTGGGTTCTGGAAAAACCGCAAATGATAACTTTTAATTATTTTTTGGGGTGTTTCTTATCATTTATCATGAAGTACATGCCTGAGACCCATTTATATAAACAATCTTTCCTTTGTAATTGTTCCACCTGGGCCCTCATTTGGAACTGGGATTCATTTTGTGTTTTAAGTTTTGTTACAAATTGTTTATAATTTGGGGCTTTATTAATGTTTTCTTTCTTTTTTATGTATCTTAGCCATCTTAGAAGGAGTTTATCATTAAAAACACGACAGAAATATTTCAAATAAATATTTTAAATATTTTTGAGGAAATGAAAAGCTTGACTTGCTCATATTTAGTGATTTTAGTTGGTTTAACAGACGTTAGTTTGGCAGTTATTTATTTATTTATTGGGAGTAGTTTCTGTTCAAATTTAGAAAAAATAAAAATAAAATCCCCACTCAGCAGGCTCCTGATTTAAAAAATGCCTGTAGAAGAAAAGAGGAACTGAGGAATGAAAGAAACAAATCCAGAGGTTTATTCCGTATATGTTATTCCTTATATGATATACATCAACATTTAGCAGATGAAGGGAGACCATTAGGGGAAAGGAGGAAGAAAACAATAATTGGCCCCTGCTAATCATACTGTTTTAATTCTCTCTCTCTGCTGCAAGTGAGATGGCTTGATTTCTTTCTTATGTTTAAGTTTTTAAACTGTGAATTACCTGTATAGGTCTAGTGGTAATAGGGTTCATAACTTCTCTTGCAGCAATTCTCATGCCAAGGGCAAAATTAGCCACCCTTTCACCATGACTGGCAATTGGGACTGGAACTCCTCCTACAACCATGTAGGCATCACCAATGGTTTCCACCTATAAAGCAAGATGCATAGTAATGTACGCATGGAAACCCACCAACCATTTGTATAGCCTTGCATGCTGATGCTGATGTCTGCAACTCTTACATTCCACTGCTAGTTGGAACTAATCAGAGGTGGGTTTCAGCAGGTTCTGACTAGTTCTGGAGAACTGGTAGCGGAAATTTTGAGTAGTTTGAAGAACCGGTAGTAAAAATTCTGACTGGCCCCACCCCCATCTATTCTCTGCCTCCGAAGTCCCAGCTGATCAGGAAGAAATAGGGATTTTGCAGTATCCTTCCCCTGGATTTGGGAGGAAATGGGGATTTTACAGTATCCTTCCCCTGGAGTGGGGAGGGAATGGAGATTTTACAGTATCCTTACCCTGCCACGCCCACCAAGCCATGCCCACCAAGCCACACCCACAGAACCGGTAGTAAAAATTTTGAAGCCCACCACTGGAGCTAATGGGAACTAAACTTCCAAAAGTTCTGTAAATGAACATAGCAAGCATATCTCCTTATTTATTTATTTTATTTGTCAAATTTCTTTGCTGCCTATCTCACCGTGGGGCTAATCTAGGCAGTTTACTCGTATTTCTTTCATTTTCCTTGGAATCACTTACTGCAATGCTTTCTTTTTTTAAAAAAAAAAAAAAATCTTTCATTTATTAATAATAATTTCTAAAAGTAAAAAGGACAAATGAACAAGTGAAAGAATGGAAAACACGGGGAAAATTGATACAAAAATATAATATTCAGTAAGTGGATTACTGAGATTGTACAGTTAGTGCTAAATAGATTGTTGATGAGAAATTAACTATAAAAACTCAAGTACATTAAAAATATGACAAAGGATTTGAGTTTCTGAACCAAGTGCCAAAATGCTGACTGATGCAGCTACAAAAGCGTATCTCATTTACCGCTAAGCAAACAGTGGTAAAGACATCGGATTGCCCTGGCTAATTAATAAAAATACATTATATACTGTAGTTATCCATGTCTTTCCCAATCTGTTACTCTCCAGAGACGTGCAATTGCAATTACATTAATAGCAAGAGCAATAGCACTTAGACTTATATATCACTTCACAGTGCTTCACAGCCCTCTCTAAGCGGTTAACAGTGTCAGCATATTGCTCCCAACAATCTGGATCCTCATTTTACCAACGTCAGAAGAATGAAAGACTGAGTCAACCTTGAGCCAGTTAAGATCGAATTCCAGGCTGTGGGCAGAGTTAGTCTGCTATTCTGCATTCTAACCACTGAGCCACCAAGACTGTTTTAATAGCCAATTAAAAAACTGTTGCCAACATTTGTTGAAATCAACTAGTTCAATTCAAACTAAAAAATATCTCATTAAACAGCTGGTATGGACAATTGCTGGAAATTTTGGGAGTTCCAATCCAAATGTATTTCGGGGTACCAAGTTGGGGATGGCTGTGAGAGCAGATCAATCTCTTTGCAGGAAGGAAAAAAGGAGGAGAATGGTTGCAAGCCAGAAAATTGCTAAATTATACTAAGCAATATCTAGTCTAGAAGTTGGTCTAGGAAGCTGATGGTTTTCAGGATTCATTCTCTCTTATTGCTGCCATTCTAAAATTATCCACCTAGACACCATATGCCCTTGGGCTACAAAAGACAGCAGCAAATGTTATAAACATCAGCCACACTTACTTTATAAACTCCATGGATGTTAGTCAGTCGATCAAACTTGGAATACATTAAATTAAGCATGTTCACGATCTGAATAGGTTCACAGACAGAACAGATGTTTGTGAAAGTCACTACATCACTGAAAAGTATTGTGCAGCAGCTAAAATCTCCTGGGGAAACAAATAATAATAAAAAAGAATAGTTTTCAGAAGCAACAGTTTCTCTGTTTTTGGTTTTTAATATGGCAAGGATAAAATACTCAAGCCAAAATGCTTAATGGAAAATGACCTTTAACCAGGGGTGAAATCCAGCAGGTTCTGGAGAACCGGTAGCAGATATTTTGAGCAGTTTGGAGAACCGTTAGGGGAAATTTTGAGTAGTTCGGAGAACTGGCAAATACCACCTCTGGCTGGCTCCAGAATGGGTGGGAATGAGATTTTGCAATATTCTTCCCCCAGGAGTGGGGAGGGAATAGTGATTTTGCAGTACCCTTCGCCTGGAGTGGGGTGGGAATGGAGATTTTGCAGTATCTTTCTCCTGCCACACCCACCAAGCCACACTCACAAGCCACACCCACCAAGCTACACCATGCCCACCAAGGCACGACCACAGAACTGGTAGTAAAAAAAATTGGATTTCACCACTGCCTTTAACTATTATTGCCACTTGTCTGAATCCTACTAAAAGCTGGAAAACAAATCGCAGCATATGTGACCTCTCACTTCATTAATATATTATTAAGATATGTATATTGATAAACTCCATTGGATTAGATGTTAGGTTTTATTGAAATAAGTGGATGGACAAAGAAACAAATTCTTGTATCATTTCAGAACATACATGAGGCTGAATTTTATATCTTCTAAAATCAAGGTTACAAGAAAGTTTAGAAACACTCACAATTCACCTAAAAATGTAAGTAATAGCATGCAAAACCCTAGAGAACAGATGAGTGATTTTGAAAAAGTAGTGGCTTACATGTCCACCCTTTTGAAGCAGCAAAAGGTGCATGTCAAACCAGTGGTCTTTATCATTTTTATTAAAATTATGAGACTGCACATAATTTACTTTTGTACTTATCAGAAAAGGAAACATTATAGGAAATACCTGTGTGCTAAATATATGTCCTGATTTCATTTGGTTCCCAGGAAACCAGACCTCTATGCAAACCAAGTCCAAACACACAGAATCTTAGCTTTGAAGGGAGCGTTTCCAGATATTCAATTGAATTCCTTACCCTTCCTGTTTTACGACATGCCATTTTCTACTTGATAATCAAATGTAATAAAATTGCCATACCTGCTTCGACCTTTTTGCCTTCCTTCAGCTGATTAGCAACATGTTTTGGTAACATGGCATAGAGTAAAGTTTCTGATTTCTTCTTCTCTATTTCTAGGTTCTTAGAGAGAATCCTGAGCTCTTCCTTTTTTCTCTCTAGTTGGTTCGATAGCTCTATCTCTGCCAGCCGCTGCTGGTTGAAAAGGATGAGGTCTCTTGTTGGGTCATGTTGGGCGATGTCAGAAAGGTGCATCTCTTGTTCTTCTAACTCATCTAAACTGCGGAGCTTTGGTGAGCACAAGTAGATCATGCTACGGTTGCAATCCATCCAGATCATTTGTCCTTTTCCCAATAAATACATTATACAATGCTTTCCATTAGGCTTAATCTATGAATTATTGGAATCTTCTCTAGATAACTGTCAGTAAACTCAATGTGAAGATTATAGATTCTGTGGGCCTAATGTCTAGATTTCACAGGTTTTGCAAATGCTTCAATACCCTCTTTTATTTTGGGTTTAGAATTTAGGATCTAGAATCTTTCATTCCTTTGTAAGGTCTTGAAAGAGTTAAAGGCAACTGACTGATCAAGATCACATAGTACAGTAACATAAAGATGGGCAATTTCTTGCAAGTTATTGTAATCTTTAAGTCTTTTCATATTTGGTATCTCCAAAATTCCCCTAAAATTGTGCTATCAGAATTTGGTGGTAAACATCTGGATTAGGACAGCATTATTCCTTCCCAATTTAGGTAGAAAATGAAAGGGACTCAGCTGACTTTTTTTGCAAGTTCTGTTACAGGGACTGTTAAGAATTTTATATGTAAAAGAAAAAGTAGGGACAAGATCAAGAATAAGAAGATGGTAAATGAATGTGGATTGGATACTGAAGTGAATGATCAACATGAAGGAATTAGTTTAATGAAAAGAAGGACTAAGCGTGACATGATAGCAGTATTCCAATATCTCATGGGTTGCCACAAAGAAGAGGGAGTCAAGCTATTCTCCAAAGCACCCGAAGGCAGGGCAAGAAGCAATGGATGGAAACTAATCAAGGAGAGAAGCAACCTAGAACTAAGGAGAAATTTCCTGACAGAACAATTAACCAGTGGAACAACTTGCCTCCAGAAATTGTGAATGCTCCAACACTGGAAGTTTTTAAGATGAAGTTGGACAACCATTTGTCTGAAACGGTATAGGGTTTTCTGCCTGAGCAGGGGGTTGGACTAGAAGACCCCCAAGGTCCCTTCCAACTCTATTATTCTGTTAAGTACACTAAGGTGGTTTGTTCATATAAAATAATTGAATCAAACTATAAAATAAATTATGAGGGAAGCGTGACTAGATCAAGAGTAAAGGAAAATCTGAGAAAGGTCATGATAGGATGGGATCCTCAAAATTTACATGTGTCAAGAACAAAAGTCTGCTATGTTGGGTATGGACATGATGGAAGCCAGCTTGCTTTGTAAACATAGAAAGATATGGGGGTTACAATGAATGTGAGTAATATTAATTACTTTGAGCCATGTTTTCTTTTCTTTGCTAATCCAACGGCTTTCACTTCTTTATTATTTCTTACTTTTTTTTGTGCATTCAGCATAACATTGCTTGTCCCAAAAGGAAATATAGGTAGGCCTTTGTTATATATTAAGTTAACCTTTCAGTGATTTATGTATCACTGAAAAGTTAACTTAATCCATTACTGTGCTACCTGACTCTATTAGAAAATGCATTATGGTAATGTTATTCCTCCTTCTATTTTTCTTAAATGCTTAATTTTTCTTAAATTTCAGAAGTTCACAGAAAGTTTGTACCTCTGAGCTTCAGCGCAGGCCGTTTCTTCAATGAATTGGGCATAATTTCTCTCCTTATCTTGAGAACAAACTGACTGTTGATAAACTTTTTCATGCTGGAAATAGCAAACGTGACTTGGGGATGAATAATAGAAAAATATTCATCTAATCTGGTTCCATTTATTTGCAATCCGGGTACAAATTTCTGAATGTTTACACCGGCCTGTTTGATTTTCAGCTGAGGAGAGAACCCAAAGGTAATTTCAATAATTAAAAATGACTTTTTAAACCCTCTTCAGAAAAACAGGTAACAAAACATTACTTCAGAATTAAAGTGGAGCCACTTGAAATATGTTTTTCATATCACAGTAAAACCGGGTTTAAGACTGGACTGAGGGGGGACCCACACAGCACTTACTAACTTTCCATTTGCACACAATCCCAGCTTTCTTTTTAATGGTTGTAGGCATCTTCTATAATGCTGGATTAGCAAAGCAGTGAAAATAACTATATGAGTTCTCACTTTTCTGATAAAAGGAAATAGTAAATAAAGCGATACATAAAGCCTTTGACTCTTACGATATCTATTTTATCTTTAAAAAAAAAGCCTTGCTCCCAAACAGTGCCTCTAGTAACATCTCCATATCACTGTCTCACCCTGCAGGCCATGTTAGTGATTTTTTTCTAATCTAATCCTCGCCTGCATGACTGCCCTGCTTTGACTTTACATATTTTTACTAACTTTAATTATTTATGTATTGTTGCAGCAAGTGTTGATCTAATAGAAATGACTTAGCATGCCCATACCAGCCCCACCTCTAGCTGAATGGTTAAGTCCAAAGAATCCATCCCAAAGTTTCCTTACTGTTTCATCGAACACGAGGTGGAAAGGAAATGCATGGCAGAAGGTTCTCTCATCCAGCCAAAGCCACTCAGGGAACAATGGTTCAAAGGTATGTAAAAGGTTTCCTGTAGAAAAGAAACAGATTTTTTAATGGCTTCTTCCACATGACCCAGAGGTGGTATTCAGCAGGTACTGACCAGTTCTGGAGAACCGGTAGCGGAAATTTTGAGTAGTTCGGAGAACCGGTAGTAAAAATTCTGACTGCCCCCGCCCCCATCTATTCTCTGCCTCCGAAGTCCCAGATGATCGGGAGGAAATGGGGATTTGGCAGTAACCTTCCCCTGGAGTGGAGAGGGAATGGAGATTTTACAGTATCCTTCCCCTGCCACGCCCACCAAGCCACGCCCACTAGCCATGCCACACCCACCAAGCCACACCCACAGAACCGGTAGTAAAAAAATTTGAATCCCCCCCCCCGGGCCAGCATGACTAACAGAAGACATCAGTTTGGGATGGTCTGGTGGACAATTTCTGGATTAATTTCCACTTTATATTCATTTATCTTTCTCTTCAGTGATGAAGTGAAATAATACCATCATTTTGTCGAAGAACTGCACTGAGGTTGGTGTTGTGGCTCTGTTTCCTGAGCCTGGGCTATCGACAGATGCAGACTCTGAGAGTGAGGGAGAGGAGTTGGCAAGGCCTCCCTCTCCAGGACCCTCCTCTCTGGCAATGCCTCCGGAGGATACCGAAGGCCAAAAGATAGGCCCAGAGCCAAGCACATCCCCGCAGTCACAGGTGGACAGCGACGAAGGAGATAAGTGCTGGCTGGACCCTCGGTAGAGGCACAGGGAGAAGCGTGCACAGCAGAGGGGAAGGCGTGCCAGAGATTAGTTGAGTCACTGGACCACACCCCACAGGGTATAAATGTGGGTGTGGTGGCTGGTTCAGTTTGTGACAAGCAAAAACTAGAAATAATCCATGATCTCTGTGTTACTGGACTTCTGCCTGCCTTGTCGGACTGCATTTGGACTAATCCTTGTATTGCGGAAACTTTGCCTGCTTTATCGGAATGCTTGCAGTCTAATCTTTGTTTTGTGTGAGTAAAGTCTGAATTGGCAGCTAGCCACTGGGTTGCTGCCAGCTTTATCTTCAAAGATTTTGTTGTGTGGCTTATTAACTCCGGGCCGTCTGTGGGGGTGCGTGTGTGGGACAGGGACAGAACAGTTGGTGCAGTGCAAGATCTCTATTTTACAAAATGGAGCACCAATGGTGCTCCCCAGGGCACTGGGTTCTACTTACTTTTACTACCGGTTCACAATGGGCAGATCACCCATGATGACATCATGGTGGGTGGGCGGAGCCTCCCACAGGTTTTACTACCGGTTTTATAGAACCGGACTGAACCGGGAGCAACCCACCACTGGTGCTCTCTCTCACATGGAAGGTTAATTCTTTGAATTGGTATTTTTCTCAACCATTTAAACAGAAATTCCTTAATTATTACTCCAAATTTGATAATTTTCACTTGAAGTAGACTGAGACCAGTAGTTCCTATGATTCCTAACCTCCCTTTACTTGGATCATTATTATTTTAGTTACATGGAGGAAGATAAAAGCAAGCATACATGAACTGGAGCTAGAGCTGCTAGAAAACAGCTGAGTTTTCTACAGAAATGCACTATATTATTTTGGACATCTTCAGAAATAGAATAACGTTTTTTTTTTAAAAAATGAATGGTGATATTCCTGTATATTCAGATTCCCAAGTATTTAAAATCATGTGGCAGACCTGACAAGGATCCCAGACAGGGTAGCCCTTTGTATGATGTTAAAAACTCAACCTTTTACCAGTGTCAATTTTATGGAGACATTTGTGGTTACATAGAGCAAATCAAGTAATTATATATAGTACAATAAAAACTGAGGACATGTTCTACCGAAAAGTATGCCTACTACTCTTGTCCTGTTAATCAGCCACATGATCTCATCAGATCTCTTTCTATAATGCTCCATATATTCAGTAAGCTTAAAGACTTTTGCTTGTATTCTTGAGATCCAGATTTTCCCATCACTTATTTACTAACTTACCCGCTCTAGAATTGGCTGTATGTCTCAAAACATCACAGGAGACCTCCCGTTCAGCAATTTTCCCCCTTCCTTTTTGAAAAACCGCATCTTGTTGCTGAAAAGAAAACGATACATTAAGTCATCTCTAAAAGAAGCTTCGTATGATATGTGAGCACACAGCCCATAATTTAGAGATGTCCTATTTCCTCCGCTCTGTATCAACTCCGCTGCTCTTTCTACAGAAACATCACCTCTTTGTCCTCCTGAGACCCATCTTCACACACAGAAATTGCTTGTTCCTTGATGTTGTGCTTCACTATTTCATTTGTTTGTAAAATAAAAAACACCACATGCTCCTTCTTCCCAGTGCGCTCCTCTTCTATATTTTGTTCAAGGATTTCCAGGGACACTTCACAGTCAAAGAAATCTCTGGCTACAGCTTCAATAATTCCTACATAAGAAAAAAGGAACAACCTATTTTAGGGCAATATGTAGATCCCATCCAAAGTGCCTCAGCTCATGAGGAACTGAATGAAAAGCAAGATTCTTATCCCCTTCTTTCAATAACAGCCACACATAGCTTTTAAAAACTTTTCAAGTTCGGAGCAATTTTCTCCCCCATCACTGTTCTTCCAAAGTTCTTCATTGCTCAAGAACATTATTCCAACCTCTTAACAAGCTTTGCAGTTAAGTGCAAAACAGAAGAAAGAAATGGGAAAACTTTCTTCTTTATATAATTTTTTCTTAGGATACAGGGAGAATTTCTAGCAGGATAAGATAGATTTCCACAAAACTGGAAACTCAGCATATACCATAATAATAGTTTTAATTATAACACATATTTTTAAAAAGCCAGACTAAACATTTGAGAGCTTTTTTCTTAGACCCAGCACCAAGGTTGCTGATCAGACAACTGGCTGAGGTGACTTAATCTGATTTCAGTTTTGCTCTGTAAATATCTATACATCCCAGTCTGCATCTGAACACTTTCTTTGGTACTTGCATTTGACTCCCCTCCCAATTATTATAATTATAAATGAGAAGCTAACAAACTGTAAACTAGAATACATACAGCCCTTTGCCTTATCCAAAGACCTTATTGGAAAATAAAAATACTAGATGACTTGACTCAAGTGCTTTGTTAGGAAGCATGCCTTCCTGTTTAATAAAAAGAAAGGATAAAAAAAGAAGTGAAGCAGAAGCTGGCTGAAATTCTCCCTACTTCTTCCATATGTGTACATTGGTCCAAAGATTTGGAGATTCCTGGGCCAGACTATTGTTTAATAATTATCTTTCTCCAATCTGGTGGAAGTTATAACTTCCATCCCAATCTGTTCTGGTCTTTGATGATGGCTTTGTGGTCCAACTGATTCCAAGACCTCCCCCTTCTTAAGTATCTCAGAAGCTTTCTTCTATGCAAGTCAAGGTCATCTCAAACTTTCTAAAGTGCTCCTTTCTCTGGTCTAAGCACCAGCTGGGCAGATATTTTGCTTTTGTTACTTCATTTTAATTGTACTACCTAAGACAAACAGAGGCATCAGCCTCTAAAAAGTATCTATTGGAATGAATAATTATTAATGATATTATTTGCACCAAATTATATTCTAAACTGTTTTTAAAATCGATGGCACAAATTGGGGGGCTTTTAATACAAACTTGGAATAGAGGAGGAGGAGTGGAACAGTTATGTCAAAGTCACAGTGGTTATTGAGCTAAGTAAAGAAATCTCATGCAACCAGAGGTGGGTTTCAGCAGGTTCTGACCAGTTCTAGAGAACCGGTAGCAGAAATTTTGAGTAGTTCAGAGAACTGGTAAATACCACCTCTGACTGGCTCTTCCCTCATTTATTCTCTGCCTCCCAAGTCCCAGCTGATCGGGAGGAAATGGGGATTTTGCAGTAACCTTCCCTTGGAGTAGGGAGGAAATGGAGATTTTACAGTATCCTTCCCCTGCCACGCCCACCTAGCCACGCCCACCAAGCCATCCACACAGAACCGGGAATAAAAAATTTTGAATACCACCACTTCATCCAACTCACCCACCCTGGCCCAAGTAGTCAATTCCAATGCTTGATATGGAAAAGTTGCCACTCAGTTTGAGTATTGTATAATATACATTCCATTGTGAAACTGGTGCCTTTGTACCTGGGACAATGTGACACAAGCCTTTCCTGTCTGAATAATAGTGGAGGAGCATTATGCCATCTTTCCTTTCCACTCGAAATGATGGTGCATTCATTTCCTAGGCAAGACAAAAACCTGTTTCATTTTCTTGCAAAACTGCCAAGACTCTATTCTAATACCCACCAGCATTATAAATGCAATTTTTATCTTTGTTGCACAATTGGCCTTCCATTCAATATATAATCAAAAGGCCGGCATAGAGCAATAGATAAGGAAGGAATGCAAATTGCAAAATTTGCATTTCTTCCTTATTGTGTTGGTCAATCAGAGCTTGCCAATTTGTATTCTGAGACTTGTTCATAGTATTGGAAACATTGGAGAAGGTCTCATGTTTGAATAACAGAATCAAACTCTGATTCATAACTCTTTGCACCTGTTCAGATTATATGCAATTTTATTCCAATTTTTCTTTCACAATGAGTTGGATGCAAGAACTCTCTCCTTGTGTTCATTCTCTCATCCTTTTTCTTAAACACGCCCACTGCTGAAGCACATTAGTGATGTAAAATATTTGTCAGAGTGAAAAATGGCCATGGCATATATTGAGAGGTAATTAATTTTTACTTTAAAATCATTCAAAGGCAGGAAAAAAACATTTTTCATGTAAATGACTCTTCTATCCCTTGGCTACAATTGCTTCATTTCAGTATGGTTCCATACATTACAATTATAATGAAAAGCAATAGCTCAGCCTTCCTCTGATTATAACTCTCCAAATTCCTGGAAAACATGCATGGCCCACCTTTGAGCTTCTACCTGAGTTTTGGTTTAATGGGGAAGATGTTAGTCACTTGTTTGTTATCACAAAACTGTCTATCTATACTCGTTCTGCAACAGTTTGAAACTATTCTGTAATAACAAAATACAAAAATATGTATATGCACTCTCTCTCTCTCTCTCTCTCTCTCTCTCTCTCACACACACACACACACACACACACACACACACACACACAAACATTAAGCTGTTTCAGTTGTGTCTCCCCAGAAGAAAATGTACCTGGTAGGACAAAGCAAGGTAGCTATGTAAGGAGTCAAGATTCTCAATAAACTCCATCAAATTTCCTCCTAGTGTCCGTAGCATTTTATCATATCCTGATGCTTTGCAGAAATTAAAAAAGTGTTGCCCAAAAAGCTTTAACACTGCCTCCTCTGGCATTTCTGCATGGGGAAAAAAAAAGCAGATTCGGGGATAATGGCATGTATACCTGGGCACAGCAGAAAGTATGTGCCTTTTCTCATGAACATGATTTGCCTTCTCTTTCCATGATACCTTCCTCGATGCTGCCACAACTGCAAGACTTCGTTTCTCCATCCATGAAAATAATCTGCAACATAGGTGCTGACTAGTTTAAGAAGTGATTCACATCTGCAATTTGATTCAAGGGCTCATAAGAATTGACTAGAGACTAGAGTTTTTTGAAGCCTTATTCCTGTCAGATAATGGATCTAAAAAGAAGTTAAAATCTTCAGCAACTGTTAATTTGATTCAAAGAGAGAAGTCACATAATGCAAAAAGCAGGGGTGAAATGGTCCCGCTTCAGAGCGGTTCGGCTGAACTGGTAGGGAGGGCGGCGGTGGTTCGGAGAACCAGTAGTGATGGCGGTGCTAGACTCCACCCACCCACCCGGTCATTGTTACTTCCTGGTTTTAACCAGGGAGTAACATGTTTTTTACCCTCTCCGCTGGTAAAAAGTATCTGTTAAGCAAAATATATGTGCATCCATGCACAATGTCCACTGAGTCTTGGAATGATTTCAGAAATTCAGTTTGATCAAATCATCTTTGAATTTAATAGTTGCATTGAAATTTTATGTAGTCTAGGAGACAGTTCTGTTAAGACAATTGATAGACAATTAGCTGTCAATTGATAGACAGTCTATTAAGACAATTGTGCCCGTCAGCTGGGCACAAAAAAAATAATAATTCAGAAATCATATCATGTTAATCCACATGACAAAAAAATGCTGCAATCAGTAAACCAAGAACAACCCATAGTTTCAAATTGTAATATAGTACTTGAAAAAAAATCATAATTTATTCACTAGCCCTTTTCTCATATGTTACTAATATGAAAAGGACGAAACCACATTACAGTTTAGCGTGATATGAGAGCAGCACAGACTGCAGTCATTTAAATTCCTTTAAATTAATTTGTTTAATAGCATTGAACTCAGTCAATTAATTTTGTGGAAACAAAGGATTGGACTGCAGGACTCTTGAGGTTTAAAACCATGCCACGACGGAATAGAAATATGCTGGAGGAAAAGAAATCAACTCAAAATGAATAACTTAGAAGAGAAAATATTTTAAAATGTAGCTACAATACAAAATGAAAAAGGATGTTTTAAAAAATGAAAATAATTACTAAAATCTGTAAGAAAGGAAATAAATATCTTTGTTATGGTCAATCACCGGAACTATATCAGGCAATTAGAATAAAATGAATTAAACTGTAGAAATAAAATAAAGCATTACATGAAATCTAAAAGACACAAAACTAATTTGTTATGTTACTAGAGCTGTTAGACAAATGACTACAAATGTGCTAATGTACAAAATAAAGCAGGGTTAAAATACTTTAATTCTAGTTCAATCGTTATTACAGTTTTTAAGAGATAATTGTAGGAAGGTGTGGAAGAGTAGATAAGTATACATTTATTTGGGATGATTGACTAGAGTATTGCTTAATACAGCCTTAAAATGATGATTGTTTCAGAATTCTTCTCATCACATCCAAAGTGGGAATAATACTACCTCTTGGCAAACAGCAAATTAAAACATGTAATTATCTCAGTACTTAGCATGTTGCAGGCTTCTTTGAGCAATTTCACAGTCAGAGAATCGTCATACACTGTATATGTCATAAAGGTGTCCTCAGTTCCAACCCGAGTTCTGCGACAATACCAAAGAAAAATTCTAATATGAAATGAATTACAGAACACAATTTACCATATTTGGGTGAAACAACACATTTTACAAACATTTAGAGTGCAAGACTCAACTGGCTCAAAATAGTTTACAGGCAGTCCTCAACTTACAACAGTTCATTTACTGAACCTTACGGCACTGAAAAAAGTGACTTATGACCGTTTTTCACACTTACAACCTTTGCAGCAGCCCCATGATCATGTGTTCAAAATTCAGATGCTTGACAACTGGTTCATACTTACGACCGTTGCTGTGTCCCAAGGTCATGTGATCCCCTTTTGCGACCTTCTGACAAGCAAAGTCAATGGGGAAGCCAGATTCACTTAACAACCGTGTTACTAACTTAACAACTGTAGTGATTCAACAACTGTGGTAAGAAAGGTTGTAAAATGGGGAAAACTCACTTAACCAACATTTTGGGCTCAATCATGGTTGTAAGTCAGGGACTACTTGTACTCAGTTAACTGGGTGGAGATGTCTGAAAATCTTTTTTAAAGTTAAATCCTTTAACCAAAAGCATTGCTATGCCCTGCTAGGTTTCGGAATCTAGTGGGGCAATCACAAAATCAGCTTAGATATCAAAGAGACTTGTAGCAATAAATAATAAATGGATTGTGGCAGAAATGTTCGTAGATTATATCCTGCTCTTAACCTGAAGCACAGACTCTTGTCCTGAATGTACCCAACCCATCCTCTGGAATACAAGTCTCTCCTTGGTTCCATGGTCTTGCTTTATCAGTGGTAATGCTGTGAGGTTATGAATATTTACTTGAGCTTTTCCCATGTTTCTTCACCAAATTTCTCTACCAGAAGGGACTTCAGGCAGGAGTTGATAAATCCATACTAGAGAAAGAGAGAGAGAACGAAAAGGAAGGGGCAGAGAAATTCTCGTGAATGTCCTATGTAAATATAACATTGCATCAGTGGTGAAATCCAAATTTTTTTACTACCGGTTCTGTGGGCGTTGCTTGGTGGGAGTGGCAGGGAAAGCATACTGCAAAATCCCCATTCCCTCCCCACTCCTGGGGGAAGGATATTGCAAAACTTCCATTTCCACCCCCATTCTGGGGCCATCCAGAGGTGGTATTTGCTGGTTCTCTGAACTACTCAAAATTTCCGCTACCGGTTCTCCAGAACCTGTCAGAACCTGCTGGATTTCACCCCTGTATTGCATATGCATACTTTCCACTAAGTTGTGTTATTTTATGGTGAGTATTAATATTATGTGAGAAAGAGCTTCTTTCTGGCCATCCCATCCTCCCCCCCAATTGCTTATTTTATAAATTAAGAAAACTTACCATGGCACCTTTATGTCATAGTAGGCAGGACTGGTCTTCTTGGTGCAGGTGACTTACTCTTTCTAAAAGCTTGGAGACCCAGCATTTAAATACTGGGTGAATGTAGATAGGAGGGTCCATAGGGAAGGCTGTGTTGACGTCTACCTGTTAAATTTCAGTAGAGACTCTGAATGGCCATGGTTGGGGAAACTGAACTAATTGAATCCCCTGGAGTATTGAAGCATATTTTGAAAACAAAATATGTTTACTTTGCTGTTCTTGTTACGGTAATTCAGCACAGAAATCACAGAACATTTCCTAATGTTCCATTACGCTGATGACACTCAGTTGTACATCTGCACCCCAGACCACCCCAATGATGCCCTTGATGTGATGTCCCGCTGCCTGGAGGCCGTGTGGGTCTGGATGGGGAGAAACAGGCTCAGACTCAACCCTTCCAAGACCGAGTGGCTGTGGCTTCCGGCATCCCGGTATAGTCAGCTGGTGCCATCGCTGACTATTGGGGGTGAATCTTTGCCCCCCACAGAGAGGGCTCGCAATCTGGGTGTCCTCCTGGATGCACGGCTGTCTTCAGAAGAGCACATGACGGCTATGGCCAGGGGGGCTTTTTATCAGGTTCGCCTGATCTGCTAGTTGCACCCCTTTCTAGACCGAGACACCCTACGCACGGTCACTCACACCTTTGTCACCTCCCGGCTGGACTACTGTAATGCTCTCTACATGGGGCTCCCCTTGAAGAGTACTCGGAGGCTCCAACTGGTCCAGAATGCGGCCGCACGGGTGATTATGGGCGCACCTCGTTGCGCCCATGTAACACCCCTCCTGCACGAGCTGCACTGGCTCCCAGTGGTCTTCCAGGTGCAATTCAAGGCGTTGGTCACCACCTTTAAAGCGCTCCATGGTATAGGGCCAGGGTATTTACGGGACCGCCTTCTGCCACCAATAGCCTCCCACCGACCAGTTCGCTCCCACAGAGAGGGACTCCTCAGGGTGCTGTTGGCCAAATTATGCCAGCTGGCGACACCCAGGAGGAGAGCCTTCTCAGTGGGAGCTCCTGCCCTTTGGAACGAACTGCCCCGGAAATACATACAATCTCTGACCTCCAGGTTTTTCGCTGTGCCCTCAAGACCCTACTGTTCCGACAGGTGGGACTGTCTATTTAAGTGGTTTTTAAATTGGAGTTTTAACTTGGGGTTTTAAATTTTGGCCGAAACTGTTTAATTGATTTTAATTACTTTTAATGATGATGTCTGTATATTTATGTTTTTAAATTGGCTGTACACCGCCCCGAGTCCTTCGAGAGAAGGGCGGTATATAAATAAAATTAACATTAACATTAACATTAATAACAGAGTGGAATTGTGCAAGAAATACTAATCGATAAAAGGTTGTGTCTGTTGTTGTAGAATCAGCATGCACATTTCAACTTTCTTCAGAGTCAACTTAAGCTTTCCTTTCTGCTCATTCACCCTCGCGGTCTTCCTCTCGGGCTCCCTATAGTTCAGTCTCAGAGAGTCTGCTGCAGCAAAGAACACCATAGTTTTTCACACTGAAGCCAACTGGACTGGTATTTTGGTGATGTGGTATTCTTCATCATATCTGGGGACATAGCACCATCATAGTTCTGACCTCTGGGTCTCTGATGATGATCTGCCAATCCTATTTTTTCCCTTCCGTTAAACTTTTTCCTTTGTCATTTCCTACTTTCCCTTGCATGTTCTCCTTCATGAAATGGCAGGCTGAAAGAACAATTTTATTTAGTGCCTTTTTTCCATATCGAAACAATGGATGGAAACTAATTGCCTCCCACTGACCAATATGCTCCCACAGAGAGGGCCTCCTCAGGGTGCCATCAGCCAAACAGTGTAGGCTGGCGACCCCCGGGGGAGAGCCTTCTCTGTGGGGGGCCCGGCCCTATGGAATGAACTGCCCCCGGACATACAAAGGATCCCTGACCTCCGTGCCTTCCGTCGCGCTCTGAAGACCCTATTATTCCAGCAAGCTGGACTGACAGGATAAAGGTTTTTTAAATTGGGTTTTGATAGGGGTTTTAAAATGATCTTAGTTGGATGTTTTAAATTTGGCCAAATGATTGAATTATTTTAATAAGCTTTTAATTTTTGTTGTACATTGTTTTTACCATGGCTGTTCACCGCCCTGAGTCCCTCGGGAGAAGGGCGGTATACAAATATAATAAACTAAACTGAACTAACTAAACTAATCAAGGAGTGAAGCAACCTGGAATTAAGGAGAAACTTCCTAACAGTGAGAACAATTAACCAGTAGAACAGCTTTGCTTTCAGAAGTTGTGGGTGCCTCATCACTGGAGGTTCTATATTATTATTTGGAAGAGACTGGACAGCCACTTGTCTGAAATGGTACTGTAGGATCTCCTGGTTGAACAGAGGGCTGGACTAGAAGACCTCCAAGGTCCCTTCCAACTCTATTCTATTCTAGAGATCTCAGCAAATTCTAGGGTGCACCTTCATAACTACCATCAGATTTCCTATCTCTTCAGACATTCCCTGCCCCAGGCTTTGAGATAAGTTGAAGACTTGAAGTTATGGTCCTCCTTACTACCTGCCAAGCTACAAACCTCCTCCCCCCTCCCCAATAAGCTGGTATGCTATGCAAAGCAAAACATCAGTTTCCAGTATAATCATCATTTCCAATAGATAGACTTAGCCCTACATCTGGACCCTACATGGAACAGATCAGCTGGATGGTTGCAGGCTGGTGTTTTAGAATGATACTCACCAGTTCAGAGAAAGGGAAAAGTTAAGCAGAAGCAGTAGGGGACCTCTTGCAGGAATGGGGAGCAAGTCAGAGAGGTGATAGGGAACATTTTGGTATCTTGGTGCCGATGCTGATTCTGTCTGTCTTTGGAGAGATTATGTGGATATAAAATCCCCAAACATTTTGTAAGAGTACTTGCAATAGCTTTGGAAATTTCCAGAATTGTTCAGCAGCTTGGCATCTTGAACTTGATGGCACAAAGCAAATTGTTGCAAGGTTCATGAGTGTTAATTTGCAGGATCGAGAATTTGAAGGAGAGAAAATAATAAATGGAGAGCTCTCCATCCTTTGCTATACCTAATTGTTTATTTCTAGTTTGTTTTCTTTCGAGGAGGTGAAAATTATGGCCCTTTAAATCTCTCTCAGGTCATCTTTTTCCCCCTTTGAAATCAAATTATCGATCACCTTTGGGGAAATCTATATAAAGCTTTGTTCCTACAGCAAATGGGACATCTGGGTATAGCTTCTCCAAAACACTGGGGAACAATGCGGATCTTAATATTAATAGTGTTGTTGGCGTGTGTGTGCACGTGTGATTGTATCACTCAACAACTGCAGTTTTCCTGACCTGATCATTTATAAGAGCATGAAATTTAACCTTAGCACAATTTTTTCAAAATAAAAAACAAACTAACAAACCAAGTGGTGGGATTCAAAATTTTTTACTACCAGTTCTGTGGGTGTGACTTGGTGGGTGTGGCATGGCTTGGTGGGCGTGGCTTGGTGGGCATGGCAGGGGAAGGATACTGTAAAATCTCCATTCCCTCCCGATCAGCTGGGACTCGGGAGGCAGAGAATAGATGGGGGCGGGGTCAGTCAGAATTTTTACTACCGGTTCTCCAGACCTGGTCAGAACCTGCTGAAACCCACCTCTGAATCAAGTACAATTCTACTTGGCTACAGCCATAATCCACTTACCAGTAGATTAGAAACTTCTAACTACTGGGCATCAGTAGTTACTCACATCATCAATTAATTTTTAAATCTACTTCCATTTTAAAAAGAGCAGCAGGTAGGCAAGGAAAAAAATTCTACAGCCCTTTGATTGGATACTGGCCTGTTTATTGTTTTTTTATATCTTAATGTAGTGGGGACATCAGATTCCCAGGAGCAAATGAAGTCTGCGTAGAACGCAGGAATATGGGCCTCCAGATCCAGCATATTGGCATGGTGGTTTTTTTTGGGGGGGGGGTAGAACCTTGACTGTAATACATTTAAGCTCTTTTCATAGTTAAAGAAAATCCTATAATAAAATGCCAGTGCTATTTTAATAATAGGAGGAAAGAAAAAAGAAGAAGAGTAGAGAACTAAAGGTTCAGAGTGGCAGCAGGCATCGAGCACAAAGGTAGAGAAAGTCTTCCAATATCTTTCATCACCAATCCTGCTGGCTTTTAGGAACATGCTTAAGACTGGTTCTTCCCACAACTCTGGACTAGGATGGGATTACCAAGTAATTATTGGGTATGTGTAGTGTTTAGGACTGATGTTCCCCCTCAGCCTGGTCAGCTTTTATTGCAATGCATGTTTTTATTGCTTTTTACCAGTGGTGAAATCCAAATTTTTTTACTACCGGTTCTATGGGCGTGGCTTGGTGGGCATGGTGTGGCTAGGTGGGTGTGGCAGGGGAAGGATACTGCAAAATCTCCATTTCCAACCCACTCCAGGGGAAGGATACTGCAAAATCCCCATTCCCTCCCCACTGAAGGGAAAGGATTTTGCAAAATATCCATTCCCACCCCACTCTGGGGCCAGCCAGAGGTGGTATTTGCCGGTTCTCTGAACTACTCAAAATTTCCACTACCGGTTCTCCAGAACCTGTCAGAACCTGCTGGATTTCACCCCTGGTTTAATTTACCCTGTATATTAAGATAATCATTTGGTAAGTGAGCAGTTTTAGAAATCTGCTAAATACTCCCCTACCCTGAAACTCAACAGTTTTGGCAATAGCCAAGCTCACTGTGTGTTTTTCACTCCACATATTGCCTTCTGAGGGAGATGAAAAATGTGGCCTCTAAGTATTTTAAACGTGGTTGTTGGGTACAAGAGTCATGTTCTTTGCTTTCTGTTTCTTGACCTCCACCTGTTGTATAAATAATGAATGCTGTGGCTTTTAGGTATTCTCCTTGAGATTATAAATGAGGGCAATTGTTGAAAATTAAAATATTCAGGCTTTATATTATTTAGAAGAACCACAATTGTTTCTTTTTCATTAGAAACATAAATTCTGGATGCACATTCCTAGATTGCAGTGTTAACCTGAGTCCAGCATAGCAAACAAAGAACAATTTTAAAAATTAATGTAGAAACAATATTCACCAAAGTTGCATGACATGGATTTGTTTTATAATCTAACCTGTCACAGAGTAACACAAAATGTCCCTGGGTGATCATGGCATTCATGCTAACATTTTCTATATGGTATGGATAATCAACATTAGATATACTATGGAGAGGGAAGAAGAATTGGATGAGATAATTTTCAGTGTGCATAACGTTGCAGCTTACCTAGTTACCGAATGAACATATTTTCTGCCTGTTCACACAATACACTGAATTATAAATTAATCAAACAGACTGAATAACCTGCTATTCCATCAGGTTTAACCTAGCTAAGTTTACTAACTTGTTTGAATACATTTGTAAGGACTTTACATAAGTGTGTTCCGTCCACACAACTACAAAGGGGCCTCAGAGTAGGCAGAATGTAAAGTCAAGTCTTGTCAGCTGTACACATCAAATAATTGCTACTGCTAATTTATTGCATAAAAATATCCTAACCACCTGCTTCTGAAGCAAGACTCCCGGGTCTGCGTATGCACAGTAAGGATTTTCAGATCAGTGCTGTTCTTTGAGGCACATTTTGGGTTTAAATTTCATTGTATTAAATGCTCCCTCTACAGCTTTAGGTAGATACATTGGATATCTCTGCAGTTTCTTTCTGGAGCTGAATGTTCCTCCTTGGCCTTTTCCTTTGGATTGGCTTGTAATCGCTTCTACTTGGCTGGTATCTTGGGAATATCTCCGAGGGGCACGAAGGATCCAGTTGGAATGTAAGCTGTGTTCTCTTGAACTAGAAACAACTGAAATATGGAACCAAACTTAATATAAATGTAACTTTACAACAAGGGTGAGGGTACAAAATATGTAGAGACTGCTTAGGTTCTGCACACAGAAGGCTCCAAGTTCAGCCTCCAGTATTTCTTGGCAAGAGTTTTAAGAAAGCTGCTGCTAATAAAACAAGGCTAGATGGACCAATCATCTGGCTCAAGAGAAAACTGCTTTCCATATTTCTGAACTAGGGATAGGCTAACTAGGTCACAGGATCCAACTCCTTCACTATGCTCTAACTTTTAAGTCCCCCAAAGCACTAGAAGATTGGGTCACTGAAATGTAGCTTTAATAGGATTGAACAGCTGTTTGTAAAGATGTCAAAGTAAGAGTAGAAATGAATATGCCAAACCGCAGTGAGGCAAAAAAAAAAAAAAAACCACAACAACAACCCATTTCCATCTTTAAAACATTTGCAGCTCCCAAATCCATAGTATTATAGATACTTTATGAAACTATTTTCTGGGATAGTTATATAATCTAGTCACCTGATATAACTCTATTTTCACTATTAATTTCTAGCTGAATTTCTAGCTGAATTCACCCAAAGAGATATAATTTTTGATACTAATAATGATTGGTATCAAACATTTTAACTGATTATTTAAATTGGTATGTGACAAACATACAGTATACAGTACCAATACTGTATTTGATATTATGGAATATGGGGAAATTAGATGGGGAATAACTCATGAAGTGGTTTTATGAGGGATGAAGAGACAAGAAGCCACAGATAAATAAATCTGAAGCCCTGTGGACTGAAAGAAACAAAGGACCACACAGGCAGGCCTAGACCTTGGATAGACCATATTCTAATTTTTTAATGGGTTATTTCAAATGGAGTAGTCTGCTTTTGCTCAGCATTAAAGTGCTGGAATGGGACAGCACCCATTTAATTATTCTCCTCTATGCACCTGACTGGATACAGAAAGTTATCCTAAAATTCCTTAGGCATTCAAAAACCACAAATCTGGAACAGGGTTGCAGGGAAGAAGAAGAGGAAAAGATACAGTATTCCAAAAATAGCCAAGTACTGCAAAATCAATAGGTAACAGACAAGTGATACTAATTATTTATTAACTCAATCAGTATATTATCCCTCAATCTTCCAAGCAAAGGAATGGAAAACCCATCCTTGGATGTTTTTGTTTGGAAGAACAGCAGAGATGGAACTTTGTTCAGTTCCCAGCTGAAATATAAGTATACTACATTTGGGGGAAACTTTAATGTATCTATTATTTACTCTTACAACTATGTGTTGTGTTTTATATGAATCTAGGTTGATGCACCAGTTGAGGCCTTTTTTGGTCTGAGTAGGCCTGGAAGCATTCTCATCACTATGCATTTAAGCTCAGTGGCTAAGACGCTGAGCTTGTTGATCAAAAGGTCTGCAGTTCAGCAGTTTGAATCCCTAGTGCCGCGTAATGGGGTGAGCTCCCATTACTTGTCCCAGCTTCTGCCAACCTAGCAGTTCAAAAGCACATAAAAATGGAAGTAGAAAAATAGGGACCACCTTTGGTGGGAAGGTAAAAGCATTCCGTGCACCTTTGGCATTTAGTCATGCTGGCCACATGAGCACGGAGACGTCTTTGGAGAATGCTGGCTTTTCGGCTTTGAAACGGAAATGAGCACCGCCCCCTAGAGTCAGGAATGACTAGCACATATGTGCAAGGGAACCTTTACCTTTACCTTTTAACAAGATTTATATGAGGCTGTCCCTGAAGACAACTCCCAAACTATTACTAGCAGGCAAGGTATTAGTGGATGAGAGCTACTATGGTTATTTAACATTTTGAAAATTCAAATCTGATGGATGCTATTCCACATTTATTCAAATAGCAATAGCAATAGCATATACCACTTCATAGTGCTTTACAGCCCTCTCTAAGTGGTTTACAGAGTCAGCCTATTGCCCCCAACAATCTGGGTCCTCATTTTACCCACCTCGGAAGGATGGAAGGCTGAGTCAACCTTGAGCCTGGTGAGATTTTATTAGTTTATTTATTAATAATTATTTATTTATTAAATAAATAAATTATTTAATAAATTTATTTATTAAATAATTTAAATAAATAATTTATTTATTTATTAGAAATGTTATTAATACAATTTATATATATATAGATACATAAATATGTACTTACTATCAAAATCTACATCAACATGTGGATGATCCCTCACAACTTTGTGAAATCTTTCTGCCTCCAGTTTTGCAATAATTGAGTCAAAATAAGCGATTGCTTCAGTCACATCTGAACTGAGTTGTGAGCCATTTCTGTCCGCTGGGATCTGGATGGTGTGACAATGGTTTAATTAGAATAAACAAGCATTATAATTGGAACCCTCCCTCCAACTTTCAAGGATACAAAATGTCGACCTTTCAGAAAACAAACCAATAAGATGCTAATTTTTTGTTTTGGTTAATTTATCTTAAGCTCCATTTAAATTAGCTATTATGTTGCTTTTTGTAATATATGTGGATTATCTTTAATGTTATATGTCTCTGGATGTGTGCATATATAAGTAGATATTCAAAAAAATATCATTTTCCAGGTGTGTGTGTGTGTATTCCAAATAATAATATAGAATTATTCTTGATGCAATCATTATTGGCCTTATGAGTCTTTTGGATCAAGGCTGATCTCAACTTATAATTAGCAGGAAAAAGCAAGCAAATGAAAAAAAGCAGTTAGCTAAAAAATATTCAGAAGAAACTCCAGGAAGCCAAATTTTATCAAAGTAATGTTGAATCTTGATTTTCTTTTTACTGAAGTACTGTAGGCCTTTTGGTATTTTGAAATTCTATTCCATGAGCCACATTTAGCAAAGCAAGGATTGAGGAAAACTAATCTTCAGAATATCTGCAAAAAAATAAAAGGTTGCCTATCCCTAAATTTTTTTTATACTGTGTCACAAAAAGTCTATTCATTAGCTCTCTCATCTGAACCTTTAAAGAATTCTAATGTCACTTGATATCAAGGTATCTCTCTTATTGACAGAAATTAAAATCTTAGCATCTTTGTTACGGGGAAAGGATGCTAGTAAAGTTGTAATACAGATACGGAGAGAATTGCTGAATGACCAGTAACATCTTCAGAGTGATACACCCCCCCACTTTTGCTAGCAGTTTAAATTGTCATTTGTATTAACGTAACAAAAGTGGTGGGCTATCCAACACAGTAAACAATACATTAATTTATAGTATTTATTTTTTTGGAAGTGAAAACTGAGTGATTTCTGTGAGCAGTTAGCATGGCCATAAACAGACATGTTTTATGGGTAGAAGACAAATGTCTATGGAGATTCTCAGTCATCCAGGATATGGTTGTCCCAAAGGTGCTTTTTCAAGAGGCAACTGGAGTTTCTTGTTTTCCTTTGAAGACGTTTCGCTTCCCATCCAAGAAGCTTCTTCAGCTCTGACTTCCATTCCCCACCATCCAGTCAGAGCTGAAGAAGCTTCTCGGATGAGAAGCGAAACGTCTTCAAAGAAAAACCAGAAAGTCCAGTTGCCTCTTGAAAAAGCACCTTTGGGATAGAAGACAAATGTGTGCAGAAAAAGTGTCAACCCATTGTTTATTACAAGAGAATGACATAAACATTTGTCAAAAGGAAACAAACCTCTCTTGTTGTTCCTTCCCAAAAGCTGAAACTTGAGCTTCAGTTTCTTGAAATTAGAACCTCTCCAGTCATGGATTTAGCCCCCAGGAGATCTTCATTTTCAAACTGCTAATACTTTAGTTTGTGTGTATGTGTTTTTTTTAATTGCTTTATTTTTCTGGCGAGAGAAGCAATTCTATCCCAATCAGTGGTAGCTTTTAAACTTGTTTATGATTGGTGAGAATGCACAAAACCTGAAAAGTAAATATCCTTACTCTGAATATTATATGTGAACAGGCTGTGTTCATCTGGCAGACTATATGGAGTCTGACACTAAAGGTTATTACAAAACATAAGCTCACCACATTCCCAAACACATAGCTCATCTCCTCACATCTTCCCATGCAAGTTTATTTCGTTCTTATTTCACTTCTCCAAAGGGAGTGGTTGTAACATATTCTATGTAAACAAGGGAATAACATATCCTACCTTAGAAGTCAGTTTGGGTGGAGGAGGAGCTTGGGTTTTTGTGGTTGTTGCTGAAGATTTTGCAGGCAAAGGGGAAATTTCAGGCACTCTGCCCAAGGCTTTCAAATCCTTGACCCCCGCAAGGTATTTTTTCCTCAGAGCTAACAAATCTTGTAAATATTGCAAACAGTCTTGTGTCTTTGAGTACATCCATGCCTTTTCTTCTTTCAGCTGAAGGCAGGCAACTGAATTAAGGCTGGTGGTACTTTTGCTTTTTTTCAGAGGTTCGATGAGTGTATGATCCTCATCTCTGAGAGCATACATAGAGGTGCTACGGATCAAACGAACCGCAGAGCCATCATAAGCTGGGATCCCATCAGATAAACTACTCCTACTGGAGTTGGGATGAAATATGGAGTGTATTTTCCTGAACATAGCGTAGTTCCTTCTTCAACTATTCCATCTAACATTCAGTCTCACTCCAGTGTGTCTTCTAATGGACATTTCTTGCCAACACAGAAAAAGGTTGTGTGTGTTGATTATGAATTGGATCAGGGTTTCTTCTGCTTCAGACTTCTTTTGGCCCATCTCTTCATTTCTTTTCCAAACTTTGCCAAAGATGAAGGAATGCAATGTCATCAGTCTTATCTTTATGCAGCCTGCAACTTCGGTTCACCGAAAGGTTGCAGCAGCTCTTATTTGTTTCTTTGTGCTGACCATGGTGCTGAAATAGTCTACATTTATAATGAAAAATATTTAGCACTTCTGAGTATGTCAAAAGGCTACATAAAAGATACTTAACACATCAGCATCCAGTGCATTTCTAATCAATATTAGATAATATCCTGCAGAAGCTGGCAGCTAGAAGGGATTTTGTTTTCTCTGCTATGGCAACCGAAGCATGGTTACCGCTATCTGATAACACACGAGTGTTGAGAATAAAGCAGGCTAAGATCCATTACACTGAGCATGGAAGACTGGCCTTCAAATAAAACACATCTAATAATCTAAGATGGTTATTGTTGATGACTATAGGTACAGTTAATTTAGTGCTGTACGTGATAGATTTAATGTATTTTGTTTTCTTGGGGGGGGCTGAATATTCAGATGCCCACCCTAAACCCAAGGTCCAAGAACTCACTCCTGGGAGTTCCCTGAGAGCTTTGGTTAAGCACATATGGAGCTGCATTGTTTGGGGAGGGCTAATGAAACAACAGAAGTTGCTAAGTCTTTCTCCCCTTCCACAAGTAATCCTCAATTTATGACTACAGCTCAGGGGTGAAATTCAGCAGGTTCTGACAGGTTCTGGAGAACTGGTAGCAGAAATTTTGAGTAGTTTGGAGAACCGGTAAATAACACCTCTGACTGGCCCCACAGTGGGGTGGGAATGGAGATTTTGCAGTATCCTTCCCCTGCCATGCCCACCAAGCCACGCCCACCAAGCCACACCACGCCCACCAAGCCACAGAACCGGTAGTAAAAAAAATTGAATTCCACCACTGCTACAGCTGGCACCAGAATCTTGATCATTGAGTGAAGATCCCCACGTAACTGCTTTGCTCAACAGCCACAATCCAGGCATTTCCAGCTGTGGTTATGAAGCAATCTCCCAGGCCACTAAGCAGACAGAGGGAAAGAGCTGCCTGCTTAGCTCAGCTCTCCTTCATGCACAGAAAGGAGCTGCTCCAGCATGCTGCAGGAATGGAGCTTGGATCTTTGTGATTAGAGCTCCATTTCTCGACCCCACCTATGGAGTTCAGCTCTTCTCAGTAGGCACCTCTCTCAGCCAGCCCCCAGCGACAAGAGATCCTCTTGGCAGGTAGCAGCAGCTTGCAGCCTTGCCTGCCAGCTTCCACATTGTCTTTCTAGTGAAGCCGTCAGAGAAGATTGCAAATGGGTAAGGATGGGAGACCAACAGGACAGCAGTGTAGATTAGGAAGTCGGAATAATAAAATGCCTCCCAGAGGAAGGCAGCAGCAAACCACTAGGTTCAATTATCAAGAAAACTATGTGGGGATATACATGAAGGCCCTAGGATTCTGATTCAATTTTCAGAAGACTTCTTTTAATATTAAAAAAAACCCCTGAAATATAATTAGAATACTTGCTGTCTTTGAATCTAACACTTAAAACTGGTTGGTTGCATTATCTTATCCATCTCCCCATCACTCAGTCTTGCTACTCTATGCTATTGTCCACCTGCAAATACCCTGGTGAGTGGTTGAATGATACAGTTCTTATGTCCAACCTGGAAAGATGTGGTACTGATCCTTCCATCATCTGCCTTCAAAACCCATCTGAACTGCAGCCTAGAGGATGAGGGCAAAGAAGAGAAGAGCAGTGGGAAAGAGGTAACAACCTGCAAGATTGCTTACCAAGAATCTATCCTACTGTTCCTCAAACATAACCGTTTTAAGATGTGTGGACTTCGGCTCCCAGAGTTCTCTAGCCAGAATGCTGCCTGGGAAATCTTAGGTGTTAAGTCCATATATCTTAAAGTTATCAAATTTGAGAAACGCTGATCTATCCAGAAAACACTATCACCACAATACAGTATCATAATCTGCTTTACTGTTGAGGCTGTTGCAGGAAGATCAAAAGCCACATCATTTCAACTTGTCCTCTCCATGTGTTGCTTGGAGTTTTGAGACATCCATACAAAAGCCAGAATAAAATTGGTGCACACTGTATCTGGGAAAATTCTGATTCCCTTTGCTTTGAGTTCTGACTGTTCTGAAAGCACAGCTGGCGCCATCTCGTGGTGTTTTAAAGACGTTTTAGCAAAGGGTAGATTTACATGACGCATCCATTATTAATACACAGGCTTAGAAAGAGATGTAAGATCTTGGTTGTGTGGTTTAGTGGTTTTTTTTAAAAAATTCCAAATTATTAGTTTGAATATTTTACTTTTTTCCACTTTCAGTGTTGAAAGTTCAGGAACTGACATTACTTCAACTGCAGTTTTATTGTAAGGCTATTAGATTAGCAACTCATAGATTCTGAGTATTGTTGTTGTTCGCTTTGTATAAATAAATCCCAGATGATTATAGCTCATATGTAAGTGCAAATTTGCATATTAGTAGATGGGCAATGTGTTTGAAAAAAGAAAAACAAAAGCAAGTGTCTATACATGTATTGGTCTAAGCCATGGGTGTCAAACTCAATTTCATTGTTTGACCTTAGGGGCCTGGGTGGGTGTGGCTGGGTGGGCATGCCCAGTTTGACATCACTCATGTCAGGGGCGCTTGTGGCAGCCCAAGCACTCTGCCAGTGAAAATGGGCTCCTGAGCTCTGTTTTTGGCTGCGACGGCCTCCTACAATACTCTGCCAGCGAAAACAGAGCACGGGAGGGCCACACACAGCCCTCCTGAGCTCCATTTTTGCTGGTAGAGGCACTGTGGGAAACAGCCACCTGCTGTTTCCAGGGTGGCCCCACAGTTAGGGCCAGATCTAAGCACCCCACAGGCCGGATCTGGCCTGTAGGCCTTGAGTTTGACACGCTTGGAGTAAGTGATATAGGGATTTCTCAGATGTGATGAAACGCAATAGGATTGTATTCTCCGTTCCTTCTGAGTTTTCTCTTGTCAAAAGTAGATACTGGAGAGCAGACACATGCAAAAGCCTGTAGACAGGCATTCCATAGTTAGGTTGCATACAAATTCCATGTTGGACCAAGTGCCCCAGAAATTCACGAAAGCTGACTTCTCTCTGGGAATCACACACATCCACAATTAATCCAGCTCAATTTACCTCTGTGTACCTGGTGGTTCTCTGTGCTACAGTGAGCAGACATCAGAAGCCTGTGCTTTAATTAGAACAGGATTAATTCAAGCTGACTGCCTCTCTGTGTGTAAATAGGGCGTTAGGGGTCAGAAAGTACTAAGTACTTTTAAATGTCTCCTTGCATAATGTTAAAAGCTACCAGAAAATGGATGACCTTTGTGTAAGCAAAAGAATTAAGGGGAAATTGTGAAGTCATTTGGTACCACTGAACTTAATCACTCTAGTTATGTAGAGCAACCATTGCTAATTATAACTTGGTGCTATAGCTGTCCCAGAGCCAGGCTGCTCCTGAAGAATTTTCTGTTTGGTGAGCTCAGAATTAGACTGAAGGATGACTAGTCTCTGGGTGTAATGTATTAACAAGGGATTAGGGGGAAAAACCTAATACAAGGCTTATTCAGTCCTTAATGCTCAATGGGTGACTTCAGACCAATCGTAATGTCTCAGACAAACCTATTTATCAAGAAAGTTGAGGCTCCTGGAAGAAAGTGGCATATAAATCTAAGAAACTACAGGACAGTTGTAAAATGTAGTCTCCGTTGCATGGAATCCTTTGGGTATACAACTTTTCAGGGATTGAAAGGAACGTCTAGTTTTTGATGCAAGCTATACCCTACTCCAAAAATTAAGGAGCTAGGACAGAAGCTCAATTCAGTCCCATTCCATTCCATTCCATTCCATTCCATTCCATTCCATTCCAGTGAAACTAGAATTATAATTATAACTTTTAATAGAATATTGTTCTCACATTTGAGGGAAAAATGCTTTCATTTTAAATAGGAAGCAACTGTGCCCCCAAACTGCTGCTCACCTTCAGTGCATGCATTGGTTTTCTCTCACTGGTCACTTCCGCTTTCTGATCTGGAGTCACCTGGCACAATCCATTCTGTAGCCTAGTTTTCACATAGTACAAAGAGCAGACTATAGAGAAACAGGTTAGATATCAGAAGCAACTTCCTGACTGTCAGCCTGTAGTGTAGGCTGCCATGTGACATGGTGATTTCACTTTCAGTGAACTACTTCAGACAAAAGCTAGATGATCCATCTGCCAGAGATGCTCTATGGCTCCTGCAAAGCAGAAGATTGGAGTAGATTACTTCTAAGATCCCTTTCAGATCAATGAGTTTTTTAATATTGTTACCAATACCAACTACGGTAGTCCAGTTTATATTTCTATTGTTTTGGAAGGCATACAATGAGACCAGTGTTGGGTAACTATTTAAGATTATATCATGTCTATAAGATTATTAAGAACTACAACAACCAAAAAGGAAATTGTAGAGTTTTAAAATATTAATTTCATTGAAAATTACAAGTGCAAAGATAAAAATCAATCAAAACTATAAAAAGGGATAAAAATTGGTGCACATAATAAAAAATAGAAAGAAAAATAGAAAAGAAAAATATACTAAAGAAAGGAAATTTATAAGGCAATGACTTCCCTCTTCGTCACATGTATAAACAATTTTAGTAATTTATCCCTTCTCTTAAAATACAACAAATTGTATTACTTTTACTCTTACTTTTACCTATCTTGATCATTAGTCCCTTCAAATAATGTTCTGGAACTTTATTTCTTTTCATTTTTTCTTTGTCTTATCTTGTAAAATTCTTCAAAGTTTTAACAATCCTCTTTTGAAATCCAATATGGGAAAATTATCTAGGTCACTCTCTTGGATTATTTCTATATAAATTTTTAATTGTTAAATATCAGCTGGTTTCTTTTGTATGTTCAGGGTAGCATCTTTTTTAAGGTATCATTCTTGTAGCCTGTCATTTTAAAATCCACTTTCATATCAATCTCAAGCGTGTCAGCTTTGTCTATTTGTTTCTGTCCCATAACATCTTTTAATGTACAGTCTAATTATAGAAGCAGACACTCTTAATTTCTGAGTCCACCATTCAAAAATCCTTCTATATGTCCACTTTTAAAATATTTTGCTTCATTCTATATTAGTAAGGGTTAAAAGGTTCTGTTTTAATTATACTTTTTAGTTTTTTCTGTTCCCTCTAGTGTTAAAGTCTCAACTTTCAAAGTCTCATCCTATCACATTTTTTTCAATTCAAAACTTTCCCCATAGGAAGGATTCTTACAATTAATTCCAAACTCTTATTTTCAATCATCTGGACTCTTAGTCCATTTTTAACTTTCCAAAATCAAAATTCAAATTACCCTTTTGCTGTTTATTATTTTTTTTAAAAAAAACCTTGTATTTAAAACTTTTGCTAAGAATTGAACTAAACTCCCCCAATGTTTTCAGACTTGTTGATTTAAAATCTTTTAATACCTAAAATCAGTTAACAAGCAATTTCCAAAGGTAACTAGAAAAGGAAGCATGTGAACTTGGTGTCCTTAAAGGCAGTGGCCATGGTTTGAGCATGATGATGGCTATTTCCTTGTTTCCCAGAGCTCTAAATCCACTGCCCACTTGATATCAAGGCACCCTTAAATCAAGTCACTAAACCTTCCTTGTTTGGAGAGGAATTACAATGAAGTGGTCTTCATTCCCAGGAATCATCAACTCCCCTTTAAGCTATGCTATCCTCAATTCACAATTTCTTCTTTGGAAATGAACAAAAATGCTTCTTGTTGGTCAATGGAAATTGTGGAAAATAGCATCAGATGAAAAAAATCTTGAAAAAGTATTTAGTTAAACATTCTTTTACTAACATTTGACCATTTCCCCCTTGTAATTTACATCAATCCACACAAATACTGTATATTTCAGACAGAAATCCAAAACCTGACCATCTAAATTTTATTGATGGATTGATTTCATTTTATGATTTTTTTTTGTAAAAGAAGTGTTCAATTATGTGTCATTTGCATTTTTTTTACAAACTACAACAAAAGGGGAAGAAACCCCAACAACTAACAACAATGAAAACAAAACTTTCACAAGATTACAAGATGCTTAGAAAAATGTAAGAGAGTAGGCCTGTGATGTATCATTCCTTACTCACAAGAAGAAAGGGGTGTTTTTTGTTTTAGTTTTTCTGGTCCAAATTTGTGTTCATTTCCTTTGCCACTGACCTCCAAGAAAACCAAAGAGCTGATTTAGTGATTCTTGTGCTTTAAAATCACAAGAATACTGGGTATTAGTTGGGAGAGGCTGGTTCAGTTCATTAGACTTTCTTTTTTTTCCAACCTTATAGCTAATGCATAGATTTGGGTATTTGATTTCCATCTGAACAGCAACAGCATTTTTGTGCTATTAACTGCTATTTGTAGTGCTTCTTATTTTAATTATCCAGCTTCCCACTTTTAAAAGTCTAAGGTTTTAAGCCATGTCTCATAAACAAACAAATAAACAAATACTAGGTCCTAGGCGTCAGAGAACAAGCTTCTTAGTGCAATTTATTTATTTACAATATTCTCTTCAGGCGCCATCTGAATGTTCTGCTGAACTTGAATGTTACCACAGTGCTCTTTTGCCAAAAAGTGACCAAATTCTAAAATGGGGTAGTTAGAACAATATTACTACATTATTTGACTTCAGACAAAGCCATGGGACATTTCTTAAAAGTTGGGTAGAGGGAAAAAAAAAAAACCTGGGTTCCTTCATTCTTCCAGTTCTTCTCTGTATTGTTAATCTCCAAGATTGTCAGTGTACTGGAATACCTTGTCAGCCATCCACAATTGTTTCATTTTTTAAAATACAGCTTAGTTACAATTTCGTACATATTTTTTCAAGTCCTTTCTTTCTTTCCTCTTCTTAAAGAGAGTTGTAATTAAAGAACAGCAGGAGAATCATCTGATCAAATTGGTCTCTTTTCGGTGTTCCTTAATTAGTATGACAAAAGGTTTGGTTGGAGTAAGGACTCATGGAATTAATTTTGTCCAGCATGGTCAGGCCTTCTTCTCCTCCTTAATCCCTCACACTGTCTGGGTTAAGATCAACACTGTGCCTGGTACACACACCTGCCACCCTTTCCGCTTCCATTAGCAAATCTGTGGAATGTATAAAATTTGGGGGAGGGATGGAAGGGATGCTGGCAGGTGATACCTTTCTGAGCTGAAGCAGGTCACACGCCTCCTGAGACTTGAATGGTGCTTGTTGGCTCCCTCAGTACCTCGCTGGGATTTGCTGTACCTCTTTGCCTGGCTCCCTACAGAGCCTACAGGAATTTAGTTGGGGTGGTACAGACATCGCCAACAGAGTCCACAGTCATTGGGTGTCTTTTGCAGCAGGGGTCTTATGACTAAGACCCCATCTGGTTATATATTGTGGAGAAGAGGTTACACCTACAACAGACATAGGTCTAACTTAAGTACAACAGAAGGACCCAGCAATGCACTCAACTCTATCTGACAGTAAGTAAACCGTAGGAGTTTTGTGTCATAAAATCATAGAATTCCATGATTTTTTTCTGGAGGAAAATGCATAGATAGTGGTAGGCACTAGTGGAAAATGCTGAAACAAATGTAAATGTATTACTTTTGGATACTATGCTTTGATAGTATGCTTTGCTTTTGACCTAAAATATTTAATAATACACATTAATATTTGAGGTACATATAGCAAACATAGCTTAAAAAAACTTATCTGGGTTTTCTTTTGCTACAGATTTTTTATACATTGTAAAGACCACGTGCTTACCAAGGACTAGTCATCAATATCACTTTTCATTTATTTTCTAAATTGTTATTATTAATAAATATGTCTATAATCAATTCTTTTACTTAAAGTCTTTCAGACAGATTTATAGAGTAGTATAAATGAGACAGTCCCTGGTCTCAGGCTAGCAAGTTTTTAAAAAAATGATGATAAAGGAAGAGGGGATGAGGAGGGAAAAAGAAAAGTGCAGCCCATGCAAAATTTGGACACAAATCTCCAAATAAATCCACAGTTATTATCTTGCCAATGTATATGGTGAGAGTGTCCACCTGGTCTGCAACACACCTCTCATACAGGTAGTTCCCATAACAGGGACATGAGGAATTTAAAACATTATATTAGAATGTAGTCCAGTATTCTAAACATTATATAAGAATATAGTCCAGTTGTCATTATCTCTAAAATGGGTTATTCCTGTTGCTTGTTGCAGGAAAGGCTACCTTGGTAGTCCAGACTTCTGCCTTCATGCTTTCTCTTTCCATCACCTCCTTTCTTCTGTTATTTTGTGTTCTGAATATTGGAAGCTGTGAGAACTATAATGATCTGAAAAAGCTGGAAACAGAGTTTGCCCTCACTCTTTACCAAAAACTAGCAGAACGTAATAATAGAACGAATCTTGTCATCTCACCAGCAAGCATTTCTTTTTCTTTGGGACTTCTGCAATTTGGCGCTCGTGGAAAAACCTTTGGACAACTGGAACACGCTTTGGGATACAGCTTTCGTGGTGAGGAATCTTCTGAGACATTAAGTATTTAAGGAACACTGCATGTCATTATAAAGTCCATCCGAGAATTTTCATTTTTCTCCACTGCCAAAATCATGTAAACCAAAACTGAGTGGCTTTTGAACTTATGACTATGGTAGTTTTTATGACTTTGTTTTTTGTAATGTCTTGTCCATTCAAAATCAGCCAGTACCAAAGTATTACTTTTTAAACATTCTGCTTTTGTCATGCTACAGATTCCCCCCCCCCACTCTTCATTAAATCATGAAAAAGAGTTTTCCGTGTAGAAACGTGCCATTTAAAGGTTTGATGGGAAAGAATAGAATAGAATAGAATAGAATAGAATAGAATAGAATAGAATAGAATAGAATAGAATAGAATAGAATAGAACAGAACAGAACAGAACAGAATAGAATAACAGAGTTGGAAGGGACCTTGGAGGTCTTCTAGTCCAACCCCCTGCTTAGGCAGGAAACCTTACACCACTTCAGAAACTTACCCAAGAACTTCCAACAACTGGAGAGGATCATTTAAAGCTAGTAGACTGCAGAAAGTCACTGGTCTCTTGCACCCAGAATAGCACTAGCTATGTGGACATGGAATTATTACATAGGATCACAAATAAAAAGAGACTTGGCATGTGCACCGATGTACCTTTAAATGCAATTGCTTTACAACTAATGAGGTTGAGAAATAAATAGAAAGTCAGGGTAGTTTTAAAGATACAGCTCCTTTTGAAATGCAGACAGCACAAATGTTTGCTTTGAGCCACAAAAACACTAAGCTCTTAATTGTCGTTCTAATGGTTTACCTCAACCTACTGTTAAAGAGGAAAGAAATGACAAAGTTGATGGTTAATTAGCAGCTTTGAGAGTGTTTCCAAAAGCTTATGATTTCCGATATGAATTTGGTTTCAAAGTCAATTCAATGTGACTGACAATAAATGCTGGTTTTCTCAAAGCAAATACAAGCATTTTCCCCTTAAATATTTCCTCCTCAAAGCAAATATAGAAAATAACGAGCAAATCTGCATCTCCTTATTCTTTATAACTTCTTAGTCATGGAAGCTTCAAAGACTGAGACAAATATTCAGAGATGGACTGGTTGACAACTGATCGATCAAGTGTGTCCAAGAGCAAAGGGGATGAAGAATGGTAGGGGAATAGATTTAATCTTCTCTTCTTCACCTCCACTTATGCTCCCCACCTCTTCCCCATTTGTTCTGGGGCAAATTTTGGGAGTGCACTTTAGAGAGAAGAACCAGAAGAAGATTGTTGAAGGAGCAGATATCCCATGTAACCATTGGGTACAAACTGGGGGCAGAAGACAAGACCAGAAATAGTATTTATTGGCTCTCTAACAGAGTCATCTAAATGCTAGCAAAACCGTTTTTGGCTAGTTGTGCAGTGAACGTTTCTAGCATCTACTCTTGGTTCCAGTTCAACTCCTTCATTGGCAGGATTGCTACAATGCTTTGGGGCAAAAAAGCAGGGATGTTAGAAGCTACAGGGAGATGAGGAACACTGTATAAGCCACTATTATTCCCTCCTACAGTATGACCTTCCAGAGATCATAGAGGGGGCAATTCTCATTGAGTGGTGTGACTTTGTATCATTATTATTTCTCCCCCTTGACTACCATAATACAAGGACATTTCTTGTTCTTAGATGAGAACATCCAGAATTTCTTGCACACAGCCTACAAAGGAGGAATTAATTCCAACCAAAGTACTATGGTGCACTTGGCATGTACCCTCTTTGTTCAAGCTGGGATGCAGCTTTCACCTCAATTCATTCAGCAGGCTGCATGGTGGGGAAATAACACAGTGCAGCAAACAAACTTCAGCGATCCTAACAGGACCGAAGCACAAATTAGGGAATGGATTACCCAGAATACAGGAGGTAAGCATTTAGTAACCCCTTTGTTGTCCCTTTGCAATGCACATGGTTTGCACCAGCTTTTTTGAGACACTCAAGCACAGAGTAGCAAATGTGTAGGCAAGTGACATTTGAGTGTGCTCGCCAACTTTCTCCCATGACCTCTCTGGGCTGCAACCTGCTGAGGCTAGGAAAGACTGGCACGAACCTTAGGACAGAAAGGCATTGAAATATTTTATTGGTACACTCTGGCTGTCTCCGACCTGAACCAAGAAACTCAAAATTTGAGAGCCATAAATCTTGCAAGCAAAAGTGTAATCTTCTCTGCAGCCTGGGTTCATATAATTCTCCTGGTAACTGAAGTTCACAGGCAAGGCAGTGTTTGAAGGCAAACAAGGTTTCGATGAGAACAGTGCAGCCTAAAGTAAAGTATATGGCACAGAAGGTAGATTATCATAGAGTTGTTTCAGCCTCAGACCGGCATGCAGGAGTACAAATGACACTGATCAGCCCTAATTTCCAGTAAAGTACTCCATTTATGATTGAAGAACAAGAAAATTGTCCCCTATTTGTTGTAAATTTCTTCAGGGCCAATATCACTTATGTCCTGGACCTGATCACAGAGATTGCTTCCAAAAACTAAATCAGTGATAAGAGTATATATACACAGCACTCCAGGTTTGGTCCCTGCTAAATTTTCAGCTAAAAACACCTGGAGAAAATTATGAGACAGAGCATCCTATATAAACCTATTTTTTTGCCTAACCTTCTGTTTGGAGAATTGAACATAGAAGAATCAGGAGTATGACAGCTCTCCAAACATCAAGATAAAGATTAGATTCTTTTTTTGCTACCTGACATGTTTGTGGCTTTGCTTGGTTCGGCTAGATTTTCCAAGGCAGTTTACACTTACAGTACTAGCAGTCCAGTGCATCCTAGTAAGGGTTTTTTCCCCCCAGATTGCAATTAAGAGGTCATTAATTTGCCATCAAATCCTTCTTTAAGTCCTAAAAGCACACAAAGTTGTTGTTGTTTCTGAGTTAACATTTCAAACAGAGAATAAATGTGTTACATTCATCTCTGTTGGCAAGATTTCACTCTTTTGTTCCCTGCCCATTACAGAAGCAAGCTGCCTGTCCTTGGACACAATTGCGTCTCCCCTTAACCAGATAGCCGTGGTAAGCACCATGAACTTCAGAAGCACGTGGCAAAGGAAGTTCACTTTCACACACACTCAAGCTTTGTTCTTTACCACTCCAGATGGCATCACCTTGAAAGTGCCTACCATGTATCTCAGAGCGGAAGTCAATTATGGTAAGGATAACAGGGATGGGCTTTTTCTATACAGACGAGTTTCCATCATGACAGAGAGAAAGAAGCTGGAAGAAAAAGAGAACCAGCATGGTATTAAGGAATCAGGAAGAATCAGGTTCAAGTCCACCCACAGCCCAAGAAGCTAACTGGGTGATTTTGAGTCACTCTCTCTCAGTCCATGTTGCTGCATGAAATAATGGGAGAGGGAGCATTGTGTTCACTGCTTCAAACTCCTGAAAGAATGCAAGTTAAAAAAAAATCAAACTAACATAAAGACAAGTAAACAAGAAGCTTCAGAGAATATGCAGTAAAAGAAATCACTCTAATGTCTGAATTTTCTGCACTTGTGGAGGGGCGCATAGCAACTATCCCATGTCAAGTGCAGCTAGTCAAACAGTCCTAAACTGTTAAAATGTCATGTAAGAAAAAATGGAGAGTAGCACAGTGTTTTCCCTTTTCAAAGAAGCCCACAGCCTTCTCGTCAGCCCTTTTTGTGTCACTTCCAGTTTTCTCTTGCCAGTTGCCATTTAACATCTTTTTCGTTAAAAGCTGATAATTGCTTCCCACATTCTGCTCATCCAGGCACTCAGGTTTGACTAATGACATTTTAAAACACAATGCAAAAATATTAAATAGGTGATAAATCCAGTTAACTATTAAAATCTTGGTGAAACAGTTATATTTTTACAGATTACTGAAACCAATGTTTCTCAACTATAACAACTTTAAGATGTGTGGACTTCAGCATGTTGGCTGGGGAACTCTGGAAGATGAAGTCCACACAGCTTAAAGTTTCTGAGTTTGAAAAAAATTGATCTAAATAATGATACAATGAGCCCCCATTATAGTTTCCAAGACAGAATGTTCCACAGACTTGTAGAACAATGCAGGAGAACAAATAGTTTATGGTGGAAATTATAAGTTTGATGTGTGTTCTGATTTTCATCCTGACCTTAAATTTTGTGTAGTGGTGGAAATATATCCAAAATCCTGCTTAGCCCAGATTTGCTTTTGAATGGTGGTCTTACTTAATACATTCATACTGTAAATGTGACATTTATTACACTAAACCTAAATTAGTGTAATATAGTGACTAAGAAATTGTGCTGCAAAGTAGAAAGTTCTTGATTCCAGCTTTATTTCTATTGTGAATTCAATTGGCCACCTTTGATACAACTCTCTTTCAATTCAGTTTCCATATATGCAATAGAGGAAATATTTCTACTAAATGTATAGGACTCTGAGGATTTTTACTGGTACAATACAGCAGTATTTTACTGCTAGCGTAAAAAGTGCCATCTGATTAAATGTACTCGATGCTTTTTAAGAATACCACCCAGTGCATTTCTGTTTGGCATATGTCCATAAATACAAAATGTGAAATATTTTTTCAGATTATTTCTGAATACTTCCAATGTATGAAGCATTATTTTAAAATCCAATAAATATGCAAATAATGGTCGGTGACAAGAAATATTTGGGGGGGGGAAGGCTTTCAGTCTGTTTAGTTATCTTGCTGTACCGTAATTATTAATCAAAAATCTGAATAAAAATGGCTTTTTTCAGAATGCTCAGAACTAAACACATATAGCTCATAAACCCTTGTTGAATAGTGTTCTACTGTTGAAATATCACTCTTTAGAAGGTCTTTCTGAAATTACTGAAAATCCTGGTATGTTTGTTAATAGTATACCACTGTTTGTTTGTTTTTTGACTTGTAGGTGAATTCCTAGTGGGCTCTCTGGATCAGATCACTGTGGTTGAAATACCTTATCTGGAGGAGAAGGTTAGCATGTTTATGGTGCTTCCATCCAACAGGAGAACCTCTCTAGCCAGGATTGAGACTTACCTCTCGGCTCAAACCTTCTCTCTGTGGTCCAGCACATTAAGAAGAACAGCAATGGATATCTTTCTCCCTAGGTAAACAACAACGGATGTACATCCAGTTGCTTCAACATTTGGATCTCTGCTCGTGTTTGCTGTGTATGTGTGTGTAACAGGCACAAACATGACTGTAGACAAAATGCCATGGCTATGGATATGAAACATGGTAGGAAAGAGGAGAGGACAAAGCCATATCATCTGGATCTGTGCTGCCTAAAATCTTAAGTGTGGAAATCCAGGGATAAGACCTTGGAAAAACTATACAGAAATTATTACAAAAACCTTTAAAGGCATGCTTTAAGCCCTAGAAACAGAATAAGAACACACAACATATTCTTGTAAATATGCAATACAGAGGTGGTATTCAGCAGTTTCTGACCAGTTCTGGAGAACCGGTAACGGAAATTTTGAGTAGTTTGGAGAACTGGTAAATACCACCTGACTGGCCCCGCCCCCATCTATTCTCTGCCTCCCGAGTCCCAGCAGATCGGGAGGAAATGGGGATTTTACAGTAACCTTCCCCTGGGGTGGGGTGGGAATGGAGATTTTACAGTATCCTTCCCCTGCCACACCCACCAAGCCAAGCCAAGCCACACCCACCAAGCCACGCCCACAGAACCACAGAACCAGTAGTAAAAAAAATTGAATCCCACCAGTGATGCAATATTCAGGATGGACTACGTGCTCTTGAAACGTTGCTCCATTGCAATTCCCATCATATCTCATTCTTAGACATGCTAAGTAGGCTGCTGGGAGGTGAAGTTCACTAAGCCCGGGAGAGGCCGTATGTCACCTTGCCCATAGAGGAATTGCACTGAAAACAACATAGTATATTTATAGTGTTCCTCTATCACCTTTCCAGGTTCAAAATTCAAAACCACTTGGATTTAAAGATGATTTTACCTGCATTAGGAATTACAGACATGTTTGAGCAAACTGAAGCCAATTTTAAGGGTATTTCAGGTAAGCTTGCCTATACAACTTTTTCAGGTCAAATGCCATATGCAACTTTGAGGGCTTAGGAGCCACAGTGTAAAAAAAATGTGCAGGATCAGAATAAAGAAAGGAAAAGGCAACTAATTTTAATTAAAAATAAAATAAAATAATACAACAATCTCCTATATATTTAAAGTTTTCCCTCTTCTGTGATGTTGAAAATTACAATTCATTGGAAACTTTTGGAAGATCTTAGGAGCTATATGCATTATGTTAAACTAAGGACTCAAATTATAGATTCTGTTCTGTGGCAGTGATTCATCACAAAAGATCTTCTAATTGGAGTTTTGGGTCTACAAAACAATTTTTCTAATCACAGGTGGGCATGGATTATTTCTGGAACAAGAATGTACCTTGTACTCTATTTCGCACAATGCTTTATTTGAGCCTCTGTCACCTAAAATGTTTTGCCATGAAGCTTACAAATCACTTCATTTATCACGGCTAATTTATCCTAGAAGTGCATTGAAAAGCTACATTTTGTGTGTGTCTTTACTTGTATGTCTTTACAACCCTGTAATCCCTTTTAATTGGGATTTGGGGTGACTGAATGGAGCTGAGCATTTACTGGCCAGATGCCCTTCCTAATGCCTACACAAAGTTCACAGCAGATATGTTCTCTTTGCGCCCTAATAGAGAAACATCTGTCACTGCCTAGGATTGAATTTAAGTCTGCCAAGTGTGAGGCAAGTGTCTTCACCTCTAGGCCACCACGCAGCTCATTCAAAAGCCACAATATTGGTGTAAAAATGAAAAACCCTCAGTTGAAAAGCCTATGTAGAACTTTAATATAGGGAGAAAGAATAAGTAAAATAGATAAAGTTATTTTGGATAAGGATTTTTTTTTTTGTAAGGATACTTCCAAAACTGTTGACTCAGTTCTCATTGCAATTCATGTATTCATTAATGGATGGGCTTCACTTCACAGGGGATACTTACTAAATTTATAGATGGCATTAACTTTATAATTTCTGGAAGAAACTCTCTCTTTTCCGCAGGCCTTTATTTCATTTTGTCAATCTGTCAAAAAACACCCATCTGTCTTTGTACATTTTGACTGAGCTCTCTGATAGTTGTCTTCTAGTGTCTCTGTGACAGAAATCTTTCTTGAGCAGTTTCTTCCTTAAATAAGTTGTTTTGCACTGGCAAATAATAACTGCTTTGGTTTGTTAGAACAAGGAGGTCTTTATATCTCGGAAGTTGTCCACAAAGCAAAGATTGAAGTGACAGAAGATGGCACAAAAGCCTCTGGCATTACAGGTAAGCCAGAGAGAATTAATGCATGAATCTAGAAAACAAGCAAATGGTTTATTAATTAAACAGTACTTTTAACATAAATAATTATTTTATAATCCAACAAATACAGCTCCTTGGGGTAATCCATTTGCCCACGGGAAGTTTTAAAATAGCTTAACCCAACCTGGTGCCCCATCCAATGTTATTATCAACCATGCATGTACCTATGAAATTGGAAACAGATCTTGTTTTCCATGTTATATCATGGCAGCAAACAGGAAGCAAACTTTCATATCTATAAAATTCCACTGTGCTACATCAAAGTTTATCATTGACAAGTTTGGGACCTCTTAACATATTTTTCATATTGACTTTCCCTAGGCATTAACTGTTTTTGTTTTATCTGCTTAAATTTTATAATGCTGTTTGAATAAGTGCTATGATGTACACTTCAGGCTTTCTACAGTGAGAAACAATATACACATAATTATAACAATTCCAAGAGTAACAAGAAAAGAATTCCTAGTCAGCAGGGTCAAACTTGTGGATTTCAAAAAATTATACTCTGGAGGGAAGCAAGATGGGGGAAACCAGGCAGCAGCGCCTAATAATTTCAAGTCGTTCAGAAATGGGTTGCAGTGAATTCCAATCAAATAGATTGGGAGCTCACAGGTAGCACTTATTCTGGCCTCATTATATATTATATACTATTGGCATTTGAACCAAAAAGGACCAGCAATAATATTTATTGGGTCTCTAACAGAGATTTAAATTCTAGCAAAACAGTTCTTGGCTAGTTGTGCAATGCACTTTCTAGCATCTACTCTTGCTTCCAGTTCAACTCCTTTGTTGGTAGGGTTGCTACAATGCTTTGAAGCCAAAAAGCAGGAAAGTCAGAAGGCTACAGGGAGAAGAGAAAAAGATTGTACAAACTACTATTATTCCATCCTACAGTGTGATCTTCTAAAGATTACGGAGGGGGCAATTCACATTGACTGGTGTGACTTTGTATCATTATGATTATAAAAAGGAACAATGCATGTGGACAGACTTCAATTAAAACTAATTTAACAAATGAATATGGACAGACTTTACAAGGTGTAGTGCTATATTGTATCTTATAGTTCTAAACACTATTTGTGTTTCAGAATTATTCCTCGTAATATATATATCTAGGATATGGCCATTCACACATGAGTTTCTCAACCCCCATCAGAAGGGTTTGGGAAAATAGAGTTTGTTGGAAGACCAGATAAGACAAAATCGGTGGTGGTGGGGAATCTCTCAAACTAATCCAACCATGATTTAGCATATGCTGTAAGAAGTGATGGATGGAATCGGAGACAAGGTGATGTAGGGCTGGCCTAGAAAAACAAATAAGAATGTCTTGGATTGCAAAATTCTGTTACTGATCTAACTTCTTACTGTCATTAGGACTTAGATATTTTAATTCTCTAGTACTGGTAGTCCTTGAGTTACAACAGTTCGTTTAGTGACTGTTCATTGTTACAATGGCACTGAAAAAAGTGACTTATGACTGTTTTTCACACTTATGACTGTTGTAGCATCCCCATGGTCACGTGATCAAAATTCAGTGTCTTGGGATCACGTGATCATCTTTTGCGACTTCTGACAAGCAAAGTTAATCGGTAAACCAAACTCACTTAATAATCGTGTTACTAACTTAACAATTGCAATGATTCACTTCACTGTGGCAAGGAAGGTTGTAAAATAGGGTAAAACTCACTTAACAAATGTCTCAATTAGCAACATAAATTTTGGGCTCAATTGTGGTCGTAAGTTGAGGACTACCTGTATTTAGTTTTACTTTCTGTGAGATATTTGAAATTGAACAAATGTAAATAAAGCCCGATATTCACCAATTGTTTTACATCACAGCTATGGTGTTTTTAAAAAGATCCAGAGCTCCTATCTTCAAAGCGGACAGACCTTTTAATTTCATTCTAAGGCAAGCCAGAACAGGTAAACATGGATTATTTTAGCCATAAGAAAACATTATTATGATAGCAAAATATTGCTGCTTTTTTTTTATATGCTAGTAGTTTGAAATTTCGTTAAGTAAGGTTCTCTATTTTTTAAATGTATTTATTAACTTTATATGGGCTCGTCTTAAATATTTGGCTCTGGGCAACTAACAATTAAAACAAAAACAAAAACAGTCAGCAAAATTATAAATAAAATAGCAGCTGAGCATCAACACCAACAGTCACCTTACCTCCAATCAATACAATCATCAAATGAGTTGACCTGCACTTCCAGGGTTCAGGCTTAATGGTGAAGGCCTTTGAAAAAGTTAGTAGGGTCAGAGTGAGTTTGAACTGCAGAGAGATGATATAGCAGAGAACGGGTCCCATGACAGAAACAGCCCTGTCTCACAAATCTGCCTTCATTTGTGAGAAACAGCTCTCTTCCTGGATCCCACTGGGGATCTGATGGGTCCCAAAACTTTAGAAAAGCAGCATCTAAACCAGGGGTATCCAACCTTAGCAACTTTAAGACCTATGACGTCAACTCCAGCATGAGTGTTGAAGTCCACAGGTCTTAAAGTTGCCAAGGTTGGACACCTCTGATTTAGACTACTGTATTTTTTGGAGTATAAAACACACACTTCCCCCCCCCCAAAGAGGCTGAAAATTGGGGTGCATCTTATACTCCGAATGTAGCTTTTTCGAAGCTTTTTTTTCAGCCCTAACAAGGCGCTAGCAAATGAAGCATCGCCGTGTTTTGCCTGCTTTTCTCATTGCTTCTCTCTCCAAAGATCAGCTGTGCTTTAGAAGCTGTTTTTTTATCCCCAAGCAGGGGATAAAAAGTGCGTGCATGCGCTCAAAACTAGCAAACTAATGTGCTGAAGGTGACCAGACTAAGGACAATAGCCAGATGAATACCTGGTAGCCAGATTTTTTTTCCCTATTTTTCTCCCCAAAAACTAAGCTGCATCTTATACTCCGGTGCATCTTATAGTCCGAAAAATACAGTAATACAATTTCAAAGCAATTGATACATTACGCTAACCAATCTGGGTGGCAAAAATCCAAATGACCACTAAGGGATGACAATGACACAGTTTTCTGTTGTTTTCTTTACAGCTTATTTAGTGGTCCTTCGGTTTTTTTTAGCATGCTTATCTGAATTCCATTTTTCAAATTTAACCTACGGGCATCCAAGCATTTTCGCCTCATTCATTCTGCTGAGAATGAATTCATAGATGTTATTTTCTTAAAATGGCACTGACATGATTCAGTTAAGAAAGGAAATATATATCAAGGGCTACACTTTCTGCTACAATAGTCTCTCCTGCATTGCCTTCTAATTAAGTAAAGTGCTTAATTAGATTTGTTTGATACCATCAGAAAGGTATCTATCGTTGTCTTCTCAGCGAAGCTTTACTACTCAGGAATGAACGAAAGGACCAGTCTTAAAAGTACCACTGCATCAAAATGTTGAAAGTACCACTACACCAAAGACTAAAGCCAAACAAAATGAGTTTGTCTTTGCTATTATGATATCTGGCTCATTTATATGACACATATTTTTCTGACATTTCTTCCTTCACATTGCATTTTCCTCAGGGTATTTTTATGACCTCTTTTTTATTTTAGTAATTGTGAATTCTGACTGTTCCATTCTAACACTTGTGTTTAAAAATATCAGAACTCGCTTTGCAACATGACTCCCATTTTCCCCATTGACCACAAGCAGAGGGAAGCGATCTGCAAGAAGTAAATATACTGCTGATTTTTACCACTCTTTGTAACTGTGTGGTTGTGAAAACTTTCATCTCTGATCAGCTTAAGACTTAAGTTTAAGCGGGAGTGTGTGAGGTGGAAAGAGACAATTGGCCTAACCCATCCTAGCCAATCCACCGTGGGCATCCCTCCCTTGCCACTCCTCCCCCTCTATTCCTCCTGCACCACCTCACCCCAGGTGATTCGCCACGAGACAAATTGCCATGGCTGATTCGCCATGTAGGATAGTTAGCCACGCATCCTGGCAGTCAATTTACCTGCCGAGGGGTGGGCCTCTGCCTTCCCATGGACCTGGTGGGCAGAGAGGGCGCCGCGGGGCAGGCAGCGCTGGGAGGCAGGGGACATGGTGGTTGCTATGCAGGGCAACTGGCTGCTTCTCCCTCCTAGCACTTGGCTTTTTGAGGTACTGTAATTGTGAGCAAGGTGATTGTAGAAGTTATTTACATTCTCACAAGTACATCCCTGCTTTAAAAACAAAGTCCAAACAGCCCTCAAGTAAAAGTAACTTCAAATGGCCATATCATCTTTCTCTCCTTCCACAGTTGAAATGGCATGGTTAGCTAATTGCATATACATTCGCATATACAAATAATATGCATGTAATAAAACCCACAGCTTTGATCTGTGACATTGTATTATAAATATAACAGTATTACACTGCTAAGCATTAATGTTTATCTCCAGAAAGTTCAATTGACTCTTTTAAAATCAATAGAGTGGTAGGCCACAAATAGAATCTGCAGGTTGCTTTCTGTTACATAACAAGTTTCTCATAAAAAATGTTCACATTCAGAACATTGCTTTTAGCCACAATTATCCAAAGCTGTATATCTTATGCTCCAGAACAAATGGTTACTGTATTCAAAGCCAGATAAAGTATTTTAGTGCTTGGGGTAACACACCTGAGATATTTTTAGATTTCATTTCATTTTTGAAGTGCCCTGTTCTATTCCTTCCTTCCTTCCTTCCTTCCTTCCTTCCTTCCTTCCTTCCTTCCTTCCTTCCTTCCTTCCTTCCTTCCTTCCTTCCTCTCCCTCCCTCCCTCCCTCCCTCCCTCCCTCTTTCTTTCTTTCTTTCTTTCTTTCTTTCTTTCTTTCTTTCTTTCTTTCTTTCTTTCTTTCTTTCTTTCTTTCTTTCTTTCTTTCTTTTCTTTCTTACCTGGCTTCGTGGTTCCTTTCTATTAGCCGTGTTATAAAAAAAATAATAGCATTCTCTCATTAAAGTTGTAGACATCTTATTTTTCAACTTCCAATATTACTAACTTCCAGCTGTGGTGAATGTGGCTCCCTTATTTCCTGTTTCTCAACCATGGCAACTTTTAAGATGCATGGACTTCAACTCCTGGAATTCTCCAGGCAGTTGCTAAGATTGAGAAACTCTGCCCTAACGGCTTACATAAAATCATTCTGTTTAATCAAATAAGCCTTTCTCAAACTTGCTGTCTTCCACAAATGTTGGGGCTATGTTACCTAACCAAGTCAGTCAGTTAGCAAAGACTATAAAAGAAAAAAATCCATTAAAGTTCTTACTTTGCTATAAACCAGGGGTCCCCAACCCCCAGTCCACAGCCCAGTACTTGTCCACAGCCCATTGGAAACTGGCAGTGAAGCTCCATTTGCACAAGTGGCACGCATGTGTGCAAGACCATCCCCTCTCCCCTCCTGCTGCCACTGTCGCTGCCAGTCCGCAGAGCCAGAAAAGTTGGGGACCACTGCTATAAGCAATATGTCTAACTGAGGCTGAACTGAATCTTTTTTTTTTTACAGGTTCAATTCTGTTCATAGGAAGACTTACAAATCCTACACTGTAAACTTAAAATTAATCCATCTACCTGCCTCAGCCACTGAGGCAATACTATACATATCTAAATAGTACGTTTGATCTTGGATTTTTTTTCTTTTAATGAACCTGTAATCCCTTGCATCGGAGTGGAGTCAGGGTGACTGAACAGAGCACAAGCGTTTACTGACTGGATGCCCTTCCTGACACCTATGCAGAGTTTGCAGCAGACAATGACCGATTGCGCACACAGAGAGAAATTTTCTACCGCTACCTAGAATCCAACGCACAACCTCCTAATTTTGAGGCGACAGTTCCACCTCTAGGCCACCACATCATTCACATTTCATCTTGGAATATCCAAAGGAAATTATGGGAACAATAAATCATAATAGTTTTTTGAGGGGAGGGGGTGCGTAGCTTCAGTAACCATGAAAATAAGGAAATGATGACCTATGATGCTACCAACTTTAATTCAAGCATATTAAAAAGAATGGTAACAGTGGGAAAGAACTAGAAAGCATAGGCACCAGATATAGTAATGGCTCGGCCTTTCCTTCTTTCACTAAGCCACTACTTCTCAGCCAGGTGTCTTCTTCATGTGACACATACATATCATTCCAGCTACTCTGCATTTGGGGACACAATACTGGGGAAGAACCACTGGGGAAAAAACAGCTTTTACTATTTTAAGATTGTATTTCAAAGCAGGAAAAATTCAACAGATCCAGAAGGCATAGAGTTGAAGAAACCAATGCTGGGTATATGATATCTCTAAAGTCTGCATCCCTAAAACGTGGATATAGCACACAGAATTTTCCAAGTTACTAACACATTGTAATTCTATTGTGCTAGTAGGACAAAGCATTTGAAGTAAGTGTTACATTTGATTATTTTAAACTAAATGTGTATATTCAGGAAAAATTTGGTTTGGTCTGAATCTACCCATTTTCATAGCCAAAAATGAATGCTAAGAATAGAGGCTGAGAGATTTTTCTAAGGAAAACCACACTGACAGTTTTTCCTCCAGAGTTATTTCTCAACCCCAGTAAAACAAATGGGAAACTCCCATTGCCAATGAAATTAATCTAGGGTTAGGTTAGGCTTAGGTCTACTTAGACTCGTGGCCAAAAACTAATGCTAGGGATAGATTCTTAGTGGTTTTGTAAGGAAAGTGACATCGTTAGCTTTTCATTCGGACTTCTTTGTGGACCACAGTAAAACACATTTGGAAATCCTGTTGCCCATGAAAATGAAAGATAGGGTTAGGGTTAGGGTTAGAGTTAAGGTTAGGTCTACTTGGAGTCATGGCCAAAACTATTGGTAGGGATATATTCTTAGCAGTTTTCTAAAGAAAGAAATGATGGCAGCTTTTCATTCGGAGTTGTTTCTGGACCATAGTAAAACATATGGGAAAAATTCCATTGACAATGAAAATGAATCTGGGGCTAGGGTTAGTTCTACTTGGAGTCATGGCCAAAACTATTGGTAGGGATATATTCTTAGTAGTTTTCTTAGGAAAGAATTGGTGACAGTTTTTCTTTCAGAGTTATTTGTTGAGCTCTTTAAAACATATTGGAAAAATCTCATTGACAATGAAAATGAATCTAGAGTTAGGGTTAGGATTTGGTCTACTTGGAATTATGGCTGAAAACTAATGCTATGGATAGATTTGTAGAGGTTTTCTAAAGAAAGCCATCTTGATCGCTTTTCATTCAGAACTCTTTTGTGGGCCTGTGTGGGCCTTGTGGAGTGGGGCTGCCAGTATTTGCTGAAAGGGCAATGCTGATGTCTATTTGAAAAAAAAGTTTCATACTCCTAACTAAAGGTTACTCTCCAATATTTATATCATTTGGGTTGTCATTGCTGATATTTGCAGATAAAATCTACTATTAGAACAGATTTTGATGATAGTGCATTATAGACTTATTTTTGAGTTACCTTGATTGAGCCAATGTGAGTTTGTAATAATTTTGATGCTGTTTATTATTTGGGGGGGGGGAGGATCCATTGAACTCAATAGAACAACTTCTGAATAAAATATTTAAGAACTTGTCTGATATCAGTGTTCTTTTGGTGATGTCTTCATTGCTCAGAATTGGCATGCTTGCTTGCTAAATTGCAGCGGCTTTTTAAAAATAACTATATGCCCTCTTAATGGTTTTGCTGATGGTTGAAGGAATCCAGCCAAGCCATCAGCCAAAAGGGGTTTCTGACCTTCCTTTTGGATCACCAGTAGGTGAACCAGTAAAACACAACTGAACAACTGAATGAAGAAGCCCAGATCATATCTTCACAAGCGGCATCTTTAGCAGCTTATCCAGAAGCTCTTACTTCTGGTTTTGACTGGACTGCTCCAAAGGTGGGAAGAATACAAGAACATCATTTAAATTAACATTATTAATCCTGCAAACTATTATAGATTCATATTAACAACAAGGTTCATGATGTACAGTACCTCAATTTACTTTATACGATAAAATGTCTGTCCAGACATTGATATTGTAATAGGACTATAATATTATAATGGTATTATATATTGCAATGGTACCTGATATTGTAATGATAGTTGCTGACATATAGCAGATAAAAAAATAGCTTTTTCCCAAATATCAATGTCTGTGATGTTCCCAGTCAAACTCTGAATACTGGATTGGATGGAGATAATGCTGTATTCCAAGGAGACTGATCTGAGCCATTAGTTAATAATCTTCACCATTGTCATTAACAGAACATCAGCCTTCCTTCCTTCTTTCCTATCAAAATATCCACCTTTTACTCCATATGATGATTATGCATGTATGTAACTGGGCCAGAAGGAAGCATTATTTTAGATATAGGAACATTTGTCATCTTTATGTTTTATTCAAAATAAATTTCAACTCCATGCACTCTAGTGGATTTGAGATAGTTGGGCCAAGTCCATTGTGTGCAACCACATGGGCACACTAGGCTACTCCTTTTTCCACTCCATTACAGTCTGCCCTGCTCTCCCAACTTGCATGCAGAGCTGAGACTCTGGAAAAAGTTCATAGAAGAGCAACTAAGATGATCAAAGGCCTGGGAGACTAAAACATATGAAGAACAGCTGCAGGATTTGGGTTTGGAAAAGAAGGATTACGGGGGACAGGATAGCAGTATTCCAGTATCTCAGGGGTTGCCACAAAGAAGAGGGGGTCAAATTATTCTCCAAAGCACCAGAGGGCAGGACAAGAAACAATGGTTGGAAACTAATCAAGGAGAGAAGCAACCTGGAATTAAGGAGAAACTTCCTAACAGTGAGGACAATTAATCAGTGGAACAGTTTGCCATTAGAAGATGTGGGTGCTTCATCATTGGAGGTTTTTAAGAAGAGACTGGACAGTCACTTATCTGAAATATCATCGGTTCTCCTGCTTGAGCAGAGGGCTGGACTAGAAGACCTCCAAGGTCCCTTCCTTCCAGCTCATTCATTCTATTGTTATCTATTCTATACCATTCGGTGAAATCTGTCTCGTCCTTGATCTCTCTTCTACCTGTCGCATTTTCTGCTGGTCGAACCCGCGAGAGAAAATCCGCGAGAAGAAAATTCTTCGCACTCGAGACGGATATTTTTCTAATAACCGCAATGAAAGTCAGCTCGTAGCTAAACTAAGGCGGGGCTTTTTTCCCTTCCCGCTTGAGTCTTTTACATCCCACTCCACCGTCCCGCTTTCCGATCGGGCGCACAAGATGAGTCAAGTGGCTCCTTTGGAGAGCCGGAAGTCGTCCGAGAAAGCCGTTGCGACCGTAGCCTTTTGGGGGTTGCCACTCTCCTCCCAATGCGCAAGCGCGGGCAGAAAAGAAAAAAAAAAGAGGGTAGGGCGTGCAGACAGGGCGTGCGGAGCTCCTGGTGGCGGTGGAGTGGCTCCGTCCGCGCGCTCTTCATGGCTGCTCAGCCTTCGCCGTCCGTGCCGCTCACTCGGCGGCCCCTGTTGCTCGGCCAAGTGGAGGGCTCGCAAGACGCGGTGACCATGGCGGCCATCGTGCCCAAGGAAGAGGGGCTCATCAGCGTCTCGGAGGACAGGTGAGGAGGGTCGGGCGCGTTGCATGGTCCCGGCAATAAAAAAGGGAAGGGAAGGGAAGGCTGAGCCGCACCTCTTGCCCGGGACGGGCTGTGCCTCTCCGACGTTTGCGGCTCCATCAGCCGCTGCAAGGTGGGCGCTTTAATCGGGAGAAAGCAGTCCACCCTCGGCTACCTGGAGCCGCCGGTCTCTCTGTGCAAAAAGACCGAGTACCGAGCTGGCGCGGCTCCTGGACGAAACAGCGCTCCGCATCCCGGCAGTGCGGGCGAGGGCTCCGGAGCTCTGCGCGAAAGGAGCTTGGGGACGAGGCAGCCTGTGCCAGCTGCATCGCCGTCGCTGGCTGAAGAGGCGAAGCCGTCTGGATCCGTCTGCCCGAGTCTGGCAACTCGGCTCTTAAAGGAAGGTTGGGAAGGAGGGATTGACTTGATGGGGAAATGGAGTGAGCGGCAGATCGCGGTATCAAGAGGCTGGTGAGATCCCAAATGAGCGGGATCCCTTTCTTTCCTAGGTCTTCGGATCCCAAAGCAAAGCTTAGGGGGCTGGAAGTACTGTACTAGGCTGTAACTCTAAGCCAAGCGGCTGTGTTGTTTTAACCTGGCAACTATCTTGTTCTCCAAAGCATTTCTATACCTGAAATTACCTACCCACCTACCTTATCTGTTCGTCTACCTTGTCTGTCTGTCTGCTTGCCACCGATCACTTTGTCTGTCTGTCTACCTACCTTGTCTGCCTGCCTGCTGCCTGCCAGCCACCTACCTATCTAACCTACCTACCTTGTCTGCCTGCCTGCCAGCCACCTACCTAATCTGTCTCTGTCTACCCACTTACCTACCTATCTTATCTGTTTGTCTACCTTGTCTGTCTGTCACCGATCTACCTTCTCTGTCTGTCTGTCTACCTACCCACCTTGTCTGTCTGTCTGTCTGCCACCTACCTATCTTACCTGTCTGTCTGCCACCTACCTGTCTTACCTACCTATCTTGTCTGC